CATACATTGACATGCATCAGTCACGGGTGTACATGTAAAGTGCAGAATTTTTGAGAAGTGTGTAATATTGATAAGAACTAAGAATTTTCTCTTTTTCTCAGGAATTTCTATTTTATATGTAGAATTCTTTCACAGACAAGTCATGCTTCAGACACTTTGAAACTGTGTTTTTGAAACTGAGCGGTTGATTTTTTTTCTTTTCTTACTTTTAAAGACTTTCTGAAACAAAAGGCTGCAGTATTTCATCTATGACTCCAGTGAACCAAAAGGGGTTACAATCTTGAATCCTTAAATACTTTGAAGGCCAGAGGCATCAAAGACATCATTTATACTCTATGGACCAAAGTTCTTTCTGCAGAGATTTATTATTTTGTTAAAATTTAAGATTAGAAATAAATACTAAATACATTCTTTATACTTTAGAGTATAATATTATCATGATAGATATTTTATCAAGCTCTACAATTCAGTATTTAGATGTGCAACCAGATCTGCTTACTCTTCTACATAAAATTTTTAAAAATTGAGTCATTTTTTGGACACATTGGGATAAATGTCTGAATGGATAAGAAAACAAGTTATTTTTTATAAGAATAGTATTTGTTTATGCTCTCAATGAAAATATCATGCAGTTTTTCTGAACTCAAAGTAAACTCAGAATTATCAAAATAATTTTAAACTTAGTAAATCCTTGTTATTGATGAGGCCATTGGTAATGAGAAAAATACTGAGATGGTACATAATTATATAGAGCATAATTATATATGACAATCATAACTTCTCATACCTAATCATCTGAATTACAAAATCAAGGATTTCTGCACTCACAAAGAAAGTCATCAAAAAACACGTGCAAAGGTAAACACTAAATAATACTCCTCAACAGGAGACTTAGAAATAACTGTTTTCAAAATACTAAATACTAACAGTATAATACTTCCTTTGACAAGTAATGTATCAGTTAATAAGCTTAATCATTACTTATTTTTTTAACTCTTTCTACTTAGTACTGTTATAAAAACTAGCAGAATAACTTAACACCCAGTTTTAACTCAGGCTGTGTGCAATAACAGAAAAAAACACACTGGGCTGAAGATCAGGTGATGCAGGTTTTATTCTTGGCTCTACACCTAAGTAGCTGTTAACCTTATTAATTAAGCTAGTTTTCTCATTTTTAGAAGAGTGGGTCTGAACTGAATTGCCCCTAGGGCCCTTCTATCTCTGATCTGATTACTACTGTCATGATGACAGCACCTGACCAAAGCTTCCCAGGACCATTCTTTGACTTTATATATATCAGGGAAAATATTTAATATGTTCCAGTTTCTTCTTTTCCCTCCTACAAGATGTTGCAAACCATCCAGTGAGGAAAGTTTCATTGTATCCTATAATAAAGTGAAGTTGCTCAGTCGTGTCCGACAGCACTGTGCAAAGATGCCTACACAACACAAAAATGACCAGTCCTTGACATGGCTCTCCCTATAACAGGTGGAAATTCCAGGTCTTTTAAACAGAATTCAAACATATTCTTCCCTCATAGAACAAGCCAAAATAATTTCTTGCAGGGAGTTCAGTGGAAACAGGTTGGGAGAAGAGGGACAGAAGCATCTTTGTAGGTAAAATGAACAACAGTATAGAAAACGTGAGTCACATAAAATGTAATAGAAAAATCTTTTTTAAAAAATCTCACTCACATGATTTTTGCTTTAAGAGCCTATTTCTTGTCTTTCAATAATTTTAATTTAAGAGCTGGAGCAAATTATCTTCCATGCTTTAAACAGTGGGTCAACAATGAACAACTTGAGCCAGTGCAGAGTGACTTCAATGGCAATACTTTCCTGTGTGTTATTCATTCCTACCCAGATGAGGTTGAATTTTTATTCTTTTAGTAACTTGTAGTTAAAATGAAAGAAATACCCAAACACACTGGTTCATTTCTCACTTTCTCGAATCAAAGAGTCACAGAATTCACCTTTACTTTTTACTAATTTAATCTCGATCCAAAGAGATGTAGTTGGGTACAATTCATCTTTTATGATAAAATCTCATGATTTAAAAAGAAATATTTTCATTCTACTTCTTAAATTTTTTTTCTTAACAAGGAAGTACATTGAAATTAAATAAAATAAGTATTTTTTAATACCCACTCACCATATCTCTACTGAAAAGCCCTTATCTACAAATATGACAAGTTAGGTCATTGTAGATATTGCTCATTATTTATGGCAAGTATTTAGGGAGGGTCCAAAGATTGTGCTCAGTAAGTCAAGTATCAACCAAACCAATCCAGTCATGAGAAAATGTAGAACATGAAGTTATAGAGAAAAACCTTGGCACCTCACACAGGTGTTGAACCTACAGTCAGGGAAGTACTGATTGTTTCAGTACCTTGAGTTTGTTACCTGTTACTCTTCAGCAAGGCAATACAACAAATGCATTCTGATAAACTGAAAATCAGTGTTAACATGCACCATTTCGCTTCTTTTACATATTCCCAAATAGAAGGGATATGGTATTCATAGAGTGCCTATCATGTGCAAGGATGTGCTGACTCTAAAATAGTATAGAATCAATAAATATTTGCTATCCGGATTAAAAAAAGAGAAGTAAAGTACCTAGTTCCTCTCTTACCATCTTCTTTAATCAGAATATCAAAATTAAAACTATAAAATCTACAGTAAAGTGTTTAAATTTTCATTTCAGTTGTTTTCCATTTTCCTAGTATATTAATGGAATTTTCTACAGAGGCTGAAAAGACATAAATGGCCAATACAGATAGAGCCATTATTAATTGTTCTAAAACTGCTTGACTTTTTCTGGAAATATGGTAATTTACAATAGTAACTACTCTTTATTTATATCAAAGTGAAAAGTGAAGTCGCTCAGTCGTATCCGACTCCTTACGACTCTGTGGACTGTAGCCCACCAGGCTCCTCCGTCCATGTGATTCTCCAGGCAAGAATACTGGAGTGGGTTGCCATTTCCTTCTCCAGGGGATTTATTTATATCAATTAATACCTTTTTTCAAATGAATCAAGATTATTAAAGATTCATGAAGATTTTAACAATTTTAGAGCCCATGGGTAGGTTTATTCAAAGGACTCCACTGTCTTCATTTAGAATTAAGTAAAAAAGAAAATATGCAACAGGAAAGAAATATACCAGAATGCTAATATTGACTACCTTTGAGTTACTGGATTAAGAGTGATTTTTACCTCCTTTTTAATCTTTTCTGTATTTTCAAAATTTTCTACAATAAACATGTATTACTTGAATGATCAAAAAGGTTATCTTTAAAAGATAATGAAGACCAGCACCACATTAAATGGGAAAAAAGCAAAACAGAACAAATGGCAGCGAGGGATCTTCTCTTCTCTAGAATGTATTTGTTTACTCTGTGCTTCCCAATAAGTTTTTAGGCATGGGTGAGTGAAGGAATGGAGAAGAGAGAGAATGGATTAATAATTCCTTATGAAAAAGAACAAAGTCTAAGCCACTTCAGCTGTGCTCATCTGTTCAGACACACTTACACATCACTTGAGAAAACAGCATTTAGATCTTTAAGAGAATCACAGACATGGAGAGAAAATTTGGAAAGAATGAATCTCTCCTTGTCAGAGACTAAATAGTCTCTAAATTGAAGTTCTGAAGGTGGATCCGAGAATTTTTCATACTAATTTTAAAGCAACAAAAGACTAAATGTAAAAGTGGAATTGGTTCCTTTTTATAACTAGAAGGAGAACAGAAATAGATTGTGAGGGTGTGCTTGTGATTCTTATAGAATGTTAACATCGTGGCATAATAAGCAAATGCATGAAGTGTTTTAACACCCACTCCTACTGAACATTACACATGCATGCAAATCAGCCTGAATCTCTTCAGGAATTGAAGACTATGGAACTTTATATACTTTCAAAATCATAGCTTCTCGTATGGACAATACTGAAGCTTGATTTTAAAGGCGCTTTCATCCAAAACTAAGCAGATAAAAATGACACTATTTCTATATGTATTTTTCCTACCTGCAGGAAAAAAGCATGATAGTTATTTATGAAATACTGTTAGCAGTACCATGAGAAGGAAGAACCTGATGTAGAATACAATGCCCACTGGTGTACAATACCCGTTCCAATGATTTTTTGGTTTCTCAGGTACAATATTATAGTAAGTCTACTGTAACTGATAACTTCACCAGCTCTTTGAAAATCATAAAAGGGGTTGGGAATGGGGAGAATACAGAGAAAGTGACTACTACATTTAGATACATAGGCTACGTTATAACACGGTAGCAAAAGGCCTGAGATCGGGCATTTGTGATCTCACGTTACCTGAGATCCTGGTCCCAGCCCTGCCTCTAGTTTACCTGAGTAACCATAGGATGTCACTTGACCTCAGGGACTGAGAGTGCCCATCTGCAGAATGAGGGTGGTTCTAGATGGCCACTGAGTCTCCTTCCAATTCTAAAATTCTCATTTTTCCTCCTTTTAATGATGATTAAAACAAAGGTCCAGATCTTTCAAGTTTTCTTTGCAGTGTTAAAGTTCTGTGAAGAATTCTAGTTTCTTCCTAATCAAAAGTGTGCTTAAACAGAACACAGGAGACTACAACTTCCCTCTGGAAGGACTCAAGTATTGAGGAATGACCAGAGTCTCATGTCAGTGAAAAAGAGTTCATCTATTTAAAAAACTGATTTAGCTTCAACCAACTACAAAATGATTAACATTTGTGATTATGGAAGAATGAGGTTTAAAGGAAAGAAAGGAAATTGGTATATTACCTCTTCCTAATTCCAGTTCTAGACTAAGGGGTAACTTAAGCATTTTTTTCAATGTCATATCCAAGAACCCTTAATTCTGCGGGAACATGAATCAGACATTTTAATGACAAAAAGAGATATTCTTATGTGTCTCCAGAAAACCTATGAACTTGTTATATTGGCGCCATTGGAAGAATACTAACGAATTCAGTATGCAAGGAATTGAAACTGAAATCACACAAACCCTTGGGTCCTTCGTCTTTGGGGGGGTGCAGGTTCCTAACTGGATCCCGGATACTGCAGTCTGTCCCTGCCCAGGTGAAATCACAGATGCAGGTGGCTTCATTACTACACACCTGTGAAGAACAAAGAACAGAGATGGGGCATTTTCACCGTACTCGGTAGAATAATGGCGGTAAATGACACATGAGACAGGGTGGAAGCTTTAAAACCATTCGAAATTTTTAGGTCTCCCCTGGTTTTGTTTTTTGGTTTTTTGTTTTTGTTGTTTATTTTTGGTTGTGCTGGGTCTTCACTGCTGCACAGGCTTTTTCTCTAATTGCCGTGAGCGCGAGCTACTCTCTGGTTGCACTGCATGGGCTTCTCACTGCAGTGTCTTCCCTTGTCCCAGAGCATGAGCTCTATGGCACATGGGCTTCAGCAGCTGCAGCATGTGGGCTCAGAGGTTGCAGGTTGGAGGCTCTAGAACACAGGCTCAATAGCTGTGGTGCAAGGGCTTAGCTGTTCTGTGGCATGTGGGATCTTCCCAGACCAGGAAGATTCTTTACCACTGATCCATCAGCGAAGCCCCTCCCCTGGTTCTGAATACTAGACAATGTATAGATCCAATACTTGGGTGATATTTTTTCAGTTAATTTTAGAAAAATCAAAGATTAAAAGGAAGAAATTTTCAAATTAAATGTTAATTACTAGTGTTGATATTGTTTAAGTACTCACGTCTGACAATGTAGCTTTTTCAGAAGTAGTTGCTTCTAGAAACATACCGTAGAAACAATATGCTTAATTAAAGAAATTAATACATGTTGGATTTAAAAGGCATTGCCAGAGGTGAAATACCAGGAGACATAAATCACCAGTGCACTGCATTACCTCATCGTGCCCAACACAGAAGTCATTTGGTGGCATCCTCCCAGCCACACAAGCACCCCCCCACCCCACCTTCCCTGTCTGTCTGTAGAGTCAGTCCTCAGTCAGCCTGGCTGATGACCCTCCTAGAGTGATCTCTGCCCCCTCTCTGCCCCTGGAATGGACCTGTAATTTAGATGAAATAAATAACCATCCACAAACTGGAGACAGAGTAGTTTAAATCCTCATCTGCCTGTGGAATACATTCAGAGATAGATTGTTTAGAGATGATAAAATTGAATTTAAGCTTATGGGTATAAGCAGCTTTTTAACTTGAAATGATATAATGCGATGATGATAATTAACACACTGAATTTAACCTTTTTTTTCAAAAAGATGAAGAAGTGGGGGATAATGGAGAATCATGGACCTTTTTATGCATTAAGTTTTATATATAATGCTTTCAGAGCAATAACTGCGTAGCTGAGTGGTCTGCCCAATGCTTTTACTTTTGTTGTTGTTTTTAGTAGCTAAGTCGTATCCAACTCTTCCGCAACCCCATGGACTGTAGCCTGCCAGGCTTCTCTGCCGATCAGACTTCCCAGGCAGGAATATTGGAGTGGGTTGCCATTTCCTTCTCCAGGAGATCTTCCTGGCCCAGGGATCAAACCTGCGTCTCCTGCATTGGCAGGTGGATTCTTTACCACTGAGACACCAGGGAAGCTTTTAATTTACTATAGCAATTATTGAATATTGACTACATTGATTACATGCTAGGTACTTATACTCAGTGCTTTGTGCATAGGATCTCATTTAATCACTACCACCCTGATGATTGAGAGAGCTTGAGTGACTTGCCCAAAGTAACTTGGATAAAGAGAAGCAGAGTCAGGATTCACACTCGGGATCCTTTCTAGCCACAAAATCCGCGCTCTTGATCATTAGTCTCTACTGCCTGTTCATGAGTCTGCGTCACTGGGCATAACCTCCTTACGCCTTTCTACCTTGCTGTGTGACATATCACTCATTTAGCTATCTATATTTTGGATTGTTTTTACCTTTGCTGCAGCATCTTCCTTTGATATGATCACTCTAAGTTTCTTCATGTCTTTTACCATTTTTGAATTCTATATAAATTTGAACTATCTTTTCTTTTACTAAATCCAATTTAAATAATCACTAACATGTGTTTTTAGGTAATAAATCTAGGTTTGCCAGGAAGTACCTGCCCCAACACTTTGTGCACAGAACTAAAGATACATGCAGGTGTGTGTAGAAAGCTCATCTTCTCTTTTGCCGGCAATGGTCCAAGCATAACTGCCCAACTTTAAACATGTGAATTACAGCAGTGATCCAACCTCTAGTCTAGTGTGATCTTCAACACACAGATACTCAGCATGCACGCTGAGTAGTTGAGGAGCTGAAAGGGAATTGCTGAAAAGTGTAAATTATTATGAATGGTACAAAGCAGTCACATAGAGTCTATAGCTTCTTTAGGAATCACATCATTTTTCTTCTAATTCCTTGGATTCCAAGAGACTATGGAGAATAAAAATACACAAATATGCAAAGTGATAAAAAAAACAACAAAACTAAAACCATATCAACACATGTAGGTATTATTCTTAGAAGATAAGTATATAAGGAAATAATCATAGTCAGTGCCTAGAGTCACAGAAGGAGAATGGCTGGACTAGAAGTTCAACCACTGTGAACTTGGAGGATGTCAGACAAGGAAGATTTGAGCTGGACACTGATGCCTACTTACCCCATGGCCTGAACACACTTTACCCTTGGAATCGAGGGGGCAGCTGCTCATATTTAGGGCCTGAATCTGTAGACACTTCCGATCTAAACACATCATAGATGGGCCACATGGTGTTCCATCTTCGACATAGCCCACATCTGTATCATCATCTAAAACCACATGAGCACCACTAAAAAGAAAAAGATAGTCATACAGTCATTAGCACCACACTTGGAAATATACCACCAACATGAGTGAGGTTTGCTATTCAGGAAACTGAAGACGCTGTCAGTAGACACAGATTTCTCCTAGCATTTCTCTACTTTTCATTTCACCCTTTCTCCACCTCCCCTTAGTAAAAGAGCATGACAAAAGAAACGCCTTTCAGTACCATTATTGCTCTGCACTTCATCAGAACAAAAATATGTCATTTGCACAAAGCGTGTTCTAAATCTTCCTTGTTTGCCAGACCAACGTTAAGACTAAAGGAGAGGTGTGCGTAAGAACAACAGAAGCAATCCTATCATTAGCACTCCAAGACATTCTGATACAAAAAGGCAGGTGTTGGGCATAGAAAGCAACTGAAAACATCTTGAAAATTATTACTTCAGAGGGCTGGATTATTCATGATTGAAAAAAAACAAGCCAATTCCTCTCTATTGATATATACTTCTAAAATCTCAAAGCTAAGGACAACTGGAATTTGAATAATAACCAATGTTATAATTACTAACTAGATACCTTGCTGAATATTTTTAAAATATTAAAATAAAATATTTTAAAATTTAAAAAAATTTTAATATACTAGTTTAGACTATAACAATATAATTTAACAAGGTTGTTGCATCTAAAGATGTGTGAAAACTTATACACTCAAAGGAAGCTTCTGTGCATCAAAGTCACTAGATTTGAATACTACAAATTTATCCAGGAGGGATCTGCTTGTCTAAGACCCTGTTCAAATCATCCTTAGAGCCATTTAAAAGACTGGAAATCAGCAACCATTTGACCAAGATAGCAATATCCAATGTGGCTATCCAGTTGATTTACCAAATTTTGTTCAAAATTATTTAGGGATGATTCTAAATCTTACATTCACCTATGTAAAATGAAGTTTTGCCATTTGGGAGATACTAAACATTACATATCCTGAGGGCAATTCTGTAGGGGGAATCCCAAAAGTGTTTTAGGCAATGGAAGTTATCATTTGAATGAGAGCATAGCATCTTAGAATTACAACTCCTTTAATGGGAATGATATTATTTAAAATATAATATGACTCCCAGTGTTAAAAAAAAATAAGTCTTGTATCTCTGTGCCTTGTACTCACAGATAATTGGATATGAAATGACTGACTAGAGCTATAAATATTTTAGTATATACTTTCTATGGGCCTTCCTGGTAGCTCAGATGGTAAAGAATCCACATGCAATGTGAGAGACCTGGGTTTGATCCCTCAGTTGGGAAGACCCCCTGGAGAAGGGAATTGCTACCCACTCTACTGTTCTTGCCTGGAGAATTCCATAGACAGAGGAGCCTGGTGCGACCCCAAAGAGGTGGACACGAGTGAGCAGCTTTCACTTTCACTTCACTATACTTTGTATATGTGATTAGGTTTCAATTAATCTTCTAAACCAAGCACATACTTTCTATATGTGATTAGGTTTCAATTAACCTCCTAAACCAAGCACATAGAGTATAGCTTAAATTCTTTTTTGTCACAAAAAATAAAACATATAATGTTCAAACAGTGACATATTTCAATGCTCAAAACTTTAATCATATTCAAAATGAATATCATAAAATTCTACTTTTAAAATTATAATTACAAAGAGTGTCTCCCTACTAACAACTGGCATAATCTTTAAGCAAATACAATGTGCAAACGATATATAACTTTGTTTTTTAAATGCCTTTCAATACACAAAGTGATGATAAAATCTAAGTTGTTATTTCTCTCATGAAAAATAGAAATATTTCCCTTGATTTCTTTCTAAATTTGTAATTCTCATGATTCTTTAGGCTTGCCAACATTTACTATGTTACCTGCAGTCAATCACCCGGCCTTGGTGGTAGAAGGAAGTTGGGATGATCTCACCCTGAAGTTGACCAATACGTGGTGCTCGAGTAAGGTTGGTGCAGAGTAAAAATCCACAGAACACATCACTGAACATATTAAACAAAAAAGAACAAGACAGGAGGAATCAAACTGAAAAAATCAAAATTATTTGGTCCACAAATACTTAAAAATGGGAAATATTCCCTTTCCCTCTAAATGAAAACATTTATTTAGATACTGTTGGTTGGTGAAAACCGCCCCCTCCTTCCTAAAAGGATCAAAGTTTGTAGGAGGTAGCAAAGTAACCAGCTCTGAGACGGCTCATGACTGGTGTCAGAACCTATCATGGCACCCCCATTCTCTACACCCACTTAGCCATGCCTCCTTCTCATCCTCCTAGAGCTAAGAGTGGCCCCTGGAATGTTGAAATGTGAAGAAAAGCTAGAGAGGGAGCTGCTGGGGAGAATTTTATGCTCTGGACAGGCTTTCAGAGCCTGACAGGGAGAAGGTCTTTGATTGCTACCCCTGCTTCCTGCTTTTGAATGCAGAACTTTGGCATTCACCTTGCAATCGTAAATTCACATGTAAAAATATAAAGTGAACATGCTAAAGTATTACAGAGAAGAGAGGCAGAAATCATCTGGGTCCTTGGTGACATTGTTAAATGACTCACTCACCATGGGGACACCTATCTCCAGTGTATTTGTTAAGTAAACAATGAACTCTTTAAAAAATGTGCAAAGAATTGAAGTGGCGTATCACACTCATACAATCCATGTCCAGTAAATGCATGAAAATGTACTATTCCATTCATAAATGCAAATTAAAGCCACAATAATAAAGCAATTCACACCCAGCAGAATACATAAAAGTAGAATGTCTGATGACACCAAGTGTTGGTGAGAACACAGTACAGTGCAACAAAATTCTCTTATACAAATTATCAGTGGTAGCATTTACTAGCACAACCATTTTAGAAAATAGTGTCATACCATCTAGTGACACTGAGAATATACCTCCCCTATGACTTAGCAATTTTTCTTCCAGGAATGGCCTTAGAAAAATATGTGTAAATGAGAACTAAGCTACATGTACCAGAATGTTCACAGTAGCATGATTACTAATAGCCAAAACATGGAAACAATCTGAATGTCTGTCAACACAAAATGGAGAAGGTATATACCTATAAATATGAATGAAAATGAAATAAAAGAATAATAAATACGAATCTACAGCTACACACACCATGGAAAACTCTCAAAATAATGAACTTAAGAAGCAAAATACAAAATAATACATGAAACATGATTCCTTTTATATAAAGCTACCAAAATTTTAGGCAAAGTAAACTGTTTAGGGCTGAAAACTTGAGCAGTATATCTCTAAAGAAAAATAAGAAAGCAACTGCCACAAAATTGAGGATAACAGTACCTTCAGGAGAGAGACAGGGGCTGTGAGGGTGAAGAATAAATCCTGGAATGCACTATTTCTTGATTCATAGAAGGGTTACATGAAAGTTCACTTTGCATTTATTTGGCAAAATGTATATTTATATATTAATCACTTTTCTGTTTCTATATTTCTCAATTTTTTAAAGTAAAAAAAATACATTTATTTTCCTTAACTCACTGGTGGCTGGATATTCTATTGCCAGATATTAGAAAGCTGTCTTCTACAAAGATCTAAAGCAATGCCTCCCAACTTTCTGAAGTCACAGAGGCACAGAGAAATGATCAGGTTTGTCTGTGACATTGACTTAATGAATGAAGCCAGAGGCATTCAACCCCATAGGTTCTGACTAGTGTAGACTCCACTTCCTTCCTGGAACCTCAAAGACTGAACATCTCAAAACTTCTGTAACTCACTCACGAGACATCAGATGGGAAGCTCTGTTCTGTTATTTTGGTTTAATTTTAAAGAAGTCAAAGACTTTTTGCTTCCTAAGGCCTCATCCACCATCAAAGATTACAAACAACTGCCAAGTTTCAAAAAGTGCAACATTAGAGACCATTAATTAGATAAATAAAACTTCTCTTAAATCCTCGCTGTGCTTCACAATGGGAGAAGAATCCCCATTGTTATGGAAGGAGAATGGGGGAGCTTTGGTCTATCACATAATGATCCCAGAGATCCAAATCATTGAGTTAACCCTTAAAAACTATTAAATTGCAATTTTAACTTTCCTCAACAAATCAAGGGAAAATATTACCAATGTGCTCTGAAGGCATCTCATTTCCTGAGTAAAGAATCCTCAATAGGCACTGACTAGATACTTTTTTGGCTGCCCTCAAAGTTCAGTTAGTTGGTAAAGAATCTGTCTGCAATGCAGGAGACCCCAGTTTGATTCCTGGGTTGGGAAGATCCCCTGGAGAAGGGAAAGGCTACCGACTCCAGTATTCTGGCCTGGAGAATTTCATGGACTGTATAGTTCATGGGGTCGCAAAGAGTGGGCCATGACTGACTGACTGTCACTTTCAGATACTTTTTAGAAGGGAAAATAAAACTTTAATACAGATATTAGATATTTAATCAAATCAAATCATGTTACATTTGAGAAATAATCAAATGTATGTTATTTCATTTTAAATGGCCCCCAAAATATAGACAGTCTACATCTTTTGCTTACAGAATTCCTTATACTAGTATATTCGTAGGCTTTTTTAAAGCAAAAGTAGAAAACCAAAACCCACTATTAATTTAAAATACCTTAGCAAAATATCTCTTCCAAACAAGCTTCAAGTAAAATACAGCACGTGAGAACTTTCCTGAATTCTACAGAAATGGTGTGTCTGTGCCACAGAAACAGTTTAGTTCATAGTCATTTGCTTGTAGATATATGATCTTTTAAATTCATACTTTTAAAAATTTTAAGTAGTCAATTTATTAAAAAAAATCAGTGACATTTATTTTGTGCTCATTTCACATTTGGACCAGGGCTTCCAAGTCCACCCATGATGCTCCAGAGGTGACCACTCACTGTTTGCTGCACTGGATCCATCGGTCTCCATCCTTCCCACAGTTACCCTTCTCCGTGCCTTCTGTATTCAGCTTTTCATAACAGAATTTGTCAGACCCTGAAGCCTCTTTTGGAGATGAGCAAGAAAAGAGAATTACTTTTAGTTCTTTTTGTTATCCATAACCAGCTCTGTGCCAGTAAATTTTAATAACCGTTGCTCCAGAAAAAGGAAGAAATTCCTAATTTGTAGCGCTTGCCCATTTTCCATAGTGTAAATTTCCACAGTATAATACATGGCTAATTTTAAACTAAGAATGTGATGCCAGTCAGCTTCTAAAATTCCTGAAAATTTCACCCATGGCTCTTGCAAGCCAAGGCAGGACAGATCAAACACACCATTCTTTTTAACTTGTGAGACAAATTTATTCCCAGTTCCTGTTGGTAGGTTTGAGGATGGGAGGTAGGATTAATCATCAGCAGGAATTAGTGAAGTGACACCAAAAAAACTAATAAACATTCTTAACCCTGCTTTCTATTAATATCAGGAAGCATTATAAAATCTGATCTCACTGAAATTTTGTTGGCACATGGATTTTGATATTTCAACTTTTTTGAAAGACAAATATGCCTCTATTATCTTTCCGTGTCCAAACTGAACCACTGAAACTAAATCTTTCAGTTAAGTGATATTTACCAAATACTAAAATCACTTGTGCATGAGTCCTAGTCCCCTTTGGGTGACTTCTTTTCCTGGTAGGTGACCCAGTCTTTGCCAGCAAGACAGAACCACTTCTCTCTTCCAGTCTGGCCCTCATTAACTGAAATTCACTGGCAAGACAATAAAAATGTCAGGAAGAGAATATGTGTACTGACATGTAGGGAACATACTAAGAAAATGACCATGTACCCAAATCTCTGTCTGTATATCAGGAAGTACTTGTGTTTCACTTTGAACTCAGATAGTCAATTACAGAATTTTAAAAAAGAGTCTGGTACTTTCCTAGGATAAAAGAATGGAAAGCTAACTTGAAGGGGTGAATGTTAAATCCAAGGTATAAACAAAATTATTGAAGTGGATTCATAATGAGCATGACCACTGCACTCAACCCAGTCTGAGTGGGTGTAACATCCGTTCTGTCACAGCCACAATCACCGAATAGCGCTGTTCGGCTCTGACGACAAGTCTTCAACGTCGGCAGTTGTTTGCTGTGGCTCTGTGACTATGATTCACCATTCTCTTCAGGCTTTTCTAGCTGTTTTTTTTTTTAATCACTTCCAAGCTGTATCTCTCTTTCAGCAAGACTGGCAGCAAAGAATATTAAAAGAAACCTGAGTGTGACCACCAAGCATGAAGCATGACCTACTTGTTCCCCAGATGTACTGACACTGGTTGTCCCGGGTCTTGCACTCCCCGTTGTAGCAGCGGCCCTGAGGACAGAATGCATGTTGTAAGGTCCAAGGAGCTGGTCCTATTTCCCCCCAGATTCTCACTGCAAGGTCTCCTTATCATTGTTTTGGACAAAGTTGGGTTTTTGGGGTACCCTAGTATTTTCACAATGAAAATAAAACTCACAAACATCTTAAGAGACACAAAAGAATGAAAATTAAAATCTAAAACACAGAACAGACCTCACTGTACAGCTCTTCATGTCCAACTAATCATCTAAAATTTTAAACTTTATGGAAAACAAAAATGGGTACATTTCTTTGAGTGACACCAAAATGATTTTTAGGTTTTTTTGTATGTGAATGCTTAGGTCATAACATAGCTTCAGGAAAAAAAAAAAGCATTACAATATATTACCATATTTTTCCATAATAGGCTGAAATGATTAAAGATAGTTACAACTCCATAAATTAGATCTCTAATTCTTCAGCCATTTTTTTTTTCCCACACTTTCAATCTGGACAGTTTGCACCCAGAGATACTTAGTATTTTATATGATGTGAAACAACTCTGAATTAGAAGACCAATGCAATAATTTCCTGTTGTTTGAGTTGCAATTTGCCATCAAAATTACATTCATCCAAAAAAAAAAACCTGAAAACTGAGCCTTCCATAAAATCCCAGTTAAAACCTATGGCCAAGCATACCTGATTTTGATTGCAAGCATATCCATCTTGCTTATGAAGATTTGGTGGGCACTGAAAAATATATTTTTAGTTAACATTCAATATGTGAAGTACTTTCAGCTTATTTGCACAATACATTAAAATGCAAAAAAATTTAAGGATGATTTTATTACTATTTGTAAATTGTATGCTACAGATCACATCAGTAAAGTTTGAAATAAATGTAAAAAAATACAACTGATAATTAGGAAAACATGAGTAACTCCTTAAATAGCTAATCCAAATTTATTCTCCAGTCATTGGTAAAAATGAATCAATCAATCAAAGCAACGGGTGCTTCTTATGTTTTCCATGAGATGCACTAGAATAATTTACGTTCACTTGCCTACAAAGTTCAAAGTAGAAGGGATTAAAATGGTCAACGAAGGGAACAAATCAGCTTGTTACACAGGAGTAGATACGTTCAGGAACTAATTTACAAGACTTCGTTCAGTCATCATTAGTAACGTTCAGGAACTAATTTATAAGGCCTTGTTCAGTTATGTGAAAATGTCAGATCTGCATGTGACACCCATGACACTCACCTCCATGCCACATTACTGAAAAAGAAGAAATACCCAGCCCTTCAATAAAAGTGCTGTATCTCCATTACATTTCTGACCTCTCAAACTATTGTTATTGAAACAACTGTGATGTGATAATTCTTTCTTTTTCCAGGCCTATTTATCAATTTTTTTTTAAGTACATTTCAATTTTCCCTAACATTATCCTGAATAATTCACATGTTTACTCTCTCTTCATCTTATTTATCACATTTAAGAGCTAAAAAAAAGAAGTTCAAGTCAAAGGCTCTGCTACAGCATTCAAAACAAATATTAAAAGGTGGGGGGGAATACAGGTGCAGTAAGTGAATAAGAAACAAAGGAATTAAAAAAAAAAAAATATATATATATATATAAAAGAAACAGAGGAATCCCTGTGAGGTCCTCCCTTGATTTTCACCTTCTCAGTAAATGACAGTCCCACTCTCCCAGCTGCCCAGGCTCCGAACCAGGGAGTCAACCTGTGTTCCTCTCTTTTACTCACACTCTCTTTCTAGTCCACTGACAATACCCGGTAGCAATACCTTCAAATATAATCACAATCTGACCACTTTCCTCCATCCCCACCGCTAACAGCTGGTCAAACCCAACACTATCTCTCACCTGATGATGCAACCACCTCCAACTGATTCCCCTTCATCCCCTCTAGTATCCTTATAGGTGACAGAGTTACCAGAGTGTCCCTTTAAAAACCTAAACCACATCATGTTGCTCTTCTGCTAATAATGGCTTCCCAGTCTACTCACCGGTCTTCCAAATTCATGATCTGCTCCTATACTGACCCTGCCCTCATCCATACCTGACCTCACGTGAATGTACCAACCATGCTGTCAACCCATGGTCTTTGTTCTTGCTCTTCCTCCAAGCTTTCACGCAGATTTCTGCCCAGCTTGTTCTCTCAATTTTTTTAGCACTTTGCCTGAACATCAGCATCTCAGAGAAGCCTTCTTTAACCATGTCCTCCAAAACCGTAACCTCCTCCCCCATGTGAGCACCGTCTGTTCCCCATTCGCTGTTTTACTTATCATCAAACTTTTATGTATCTGTTTGTCTACTCAGTCAGTTCAGTTGCTCAGTTGTATCTGACTCTTCACAACCCCATGAACCACAGCACACCAGGCAGGCTTCCCTGTCCATCACCAACTCCCAGAGCTTGCTCAAACTCACGCCCATTGAGTCAGTGATGCCATCCAACCATTTCATCCTCTGTCATCCCCTTCTCCTCCTGCCTTTAATCTTTCCCAGCAACAGGGTCTTTTCCAATGAGTCAGTTCTTTGTATCAGGTAGCCAAAGTATTGGAGTTTCAACTTCAGCATCAGTCCTTCCAATGAATATTCAGGACTGATTTCCTTACGATGGACTGATTTGATCTCCCTGAAGTCCAAGGGACTCTCAAGAGTCTTCTCCAACACCACAGTTCAAAAGCATCAATTCTTTGGCACTCAGCTTTCTTTATAGTTCAAATCTCACATCCATACATGACTTCCGGAAAAACCATAGATTTGACTAGATGAAAGTTGGTTGGTAAAGTAATGTCTCTGCTTTTTAATACACTGTCTAGGTTGGTCATAACTTTTCTTCCAAGGAGCAAGCATCTTTTAATTTCATGGCTGCAGTCACTATTTGCAGTCATTTTGGAGCCCAAGAAAATAAAGTCTCTCACTGTTTCCATTGTTTCCCTATCTATTTGCCATCAAGTGATGGGACCAGATGCCATGATCTTAGTTTTCTGAACGTTGAGTTTTAAGCCAACTTTTTCACTCTCCTCTTTCACTTCTATCAAGAGGCTCTTTAGTTCTTCTTCGCTTTCTGCCATAGGGTAGTATCTGCATATCTGAGGTTATTGATGTTTCTCCCAGCAATCTTTTTTTTAAATTAATTAATTTTAATTGGAGGCTAATTACTTTACAATACAGTAGTGGTTTTTACCATACATTGACACGAATCAATAGTGACACGAATCATTAACACATAGTGTTAATGTGTGTCTTCTGACAAGCTTGATTCCAGCTTGTGCTTCATCTAGCCCAGCATTCCACATGATGTACTCTGCATACAAGTTAAATAAGCAGGGTGACAATATACAGCCTTGACATACTCCTTTCCCGATTTGGAACCCGTCTGTTGTTCCATGTCCAGTTCTAACTGTTGCTTCTTGACCTGCATACAGGTTTCTCAGGAGGCAGGTCAGGTGGTCTGGTATTCTCATCTCTTGAAGAATTTTCCACAGTTTGTTGTGATTCACAGTCAAAGGCTTTGTTTACTGCCCCCCTCCTAATGCAGTTTGTCTACTGCTCCCATCCTAATGCAAGCTCCATGCAGGCAGGGATTTTCCATCCTTTTCCCTCCCTGGCACCTAGAACAAAGCTGGGCTCAATTATTATTGAGAAGGTACTCAATGACTAGTGACTACTGAGAAAATAAACAAATGACCCGCACAGATACAATTATTTTATTCTGCAGTATCAAGCTGTTTATCAAGGTCACAACAGAAAGATAATAGAACTAATTTAGAATTGCTAAGAAACAGTAACTTACCAAGGGATACATTGAGATTAAAGGCTTTGGTTCTACAGCTTTCTATGAACAACCAATTTTCATACCAGTTTTCATTCAACCTGATGCTAACTATTCAAAAGATGTAATTATCAGCATGAGAACTTGGCTTACTGGACCAACTGCACAAAAACAGAGATTCCCTATGGTCTCTTTCATTCATCCAAATCCACTCAAAACACCATCATTATCTTATTAATCAACTAACAGTAATTATTCACTTACTCCAAGATGAATGCAACCACACTGAACCAAAATGCAAAAGAAATGTTGTTCGCTGAATACACACATCAGGGTCTAAACTTAACTTGTCATATTTGACTTTTGTGATGTTTCAATAGGAGAAAACTAGTAGGATTTGATAAAATTTAAAAAGCTCTCATAAAATGTCATAACTGCATGGGAGAAGATTTCTCATCTATTTTCAGTTTAGGCTAACAAAAGCCAGTTGTTTAACACTGAAATGTTTAACAAAGGAAATTATGAAATGTCTATTGTTCTCTGGAGACATTTAAAATAGAAGAACCATAAATCTGTGTACTTTATTCTGCTTGTGAGCAGAGCTCTGGATTCGGTCTCTAAATGCCATTTGAGGGAATTCCCTGGTGGTTCAGTGGTTAAGAATCTGACTTCCAGTGCAGGGGACATGGGTTCAATCCCTGGTCTTGGAACTAAGATCCCACATGCCACAGGGCAACTACGCCTGTGTGCCTCAATTAGAGACACAGCCAAAAATAAAAATATATACAAAATAATACTGATAAATAAATGCCATTTTTACACTGTACAGTAAGGTCCAACTGAGGCTGGCTTCCACAGTGCAACAGCCTTTAAATGTGCTTATTTTAAACTGTGTTATACTCCCATTTTGATGACATATTTCATAGTGTTTAACAAAACATATTTCACATATCTTTCAAAAATATCTTTATTAGATCATCCAGATTGTTTGCTCAGAATGTCTCTCAGTTCCACATCTTATTTATTCTCTTTGAAACTGTGAATTTAAAAAGCAGCTCAGAAGCATCAGTAAATGCTAATATAAAAACTAAGCAGAAATATACTGTGAAATAAAAGCAATAAATACATAATGTCACCAAAGGTACTGATTTTCAGAGATGCAGAGATTCTGAGACATCCCATTTTAATTATTAGTATCAATTAAATTCAAAGTTTCCTGCTTCTTTCAAAACAGAAGAATTACTGTGTGTTGGGGGCAAGGGTGTGGTGGTGTTTAACTCCCTCTCTTCCACTTATCTAGTTTAGGTTCCTTCTGGTCATAGAAGGGAATTGTTACTAAAGGAACTGAGAATTTAACAGTACAATTTTCACCTTGGGACATGAAATTAAAAGAATATTTTAAAAATTTAATCAATAAAATATTAGATTGAATTAGAACCCTTATTATAAAAACTTTATTTCCAGTAAAGCCTATGACAATTCAGGAGTTAAAGGTTGAAATGGAAAAACTATATTTTTATACTTTGGCCACCTGATGCCGAAGAACTGACTCATTTGGAAAGACCCTGATGCTGGGAAAGATTGAAGGTGGGAGGAGAAGAGGACGACAGAGGATGAGACAGTTGGATGGCATCACTGACTCAATGGACATGAGTTAGAGTAAACTCAAGGAGTTGGTGACGGACAGGGAGGCCTAGCGTGCTGCAGTCCGTGGGGTCACAGAGTCGGACATGACTGAGCGTTGAACTGAACTGATGCTTTTAAAAGAATTGAACACACAAAACCAAAACCATATACAATGGGTCTCATTCTACAAAACTAAAAATATAACTCAGTGAAATAAGTGTATCAGAAATGTCAATATACTTGTCATAAATCACAGAATCCACAGTTCTTACATACTGCCACTATATTATTTAAAAATTGTAAAGATCTATTTATATGTAAGGACAGATATACATAAAAATCACAAAAGGATAGCCATACAGTTCGCTGTACCATAAGCTTTGTACTATATCCATTTGAATCAAGCCTTAGATGGTATATATCAAAACTTTTCAGAAAGGTTAATTAGGAAATTTTGCTTTCCTCTCCTCATGTTTCCTTCCAGGGAGAAGCACTCCGTGTAACTCCGGTTACTCTCTACTCCTGTGCTCACTTCTCCAGGCAGGTAGAGCAACCGACTGGTTGATGAATAAACTTCAGAAGAATAACTCAGCATTCTGGCTCAGTTCTGCCATCTTCTCCTGCCTACTCACATGATTCATCCTCTCTCTACTGCTCCTCCATGGCATACAAGGGCCACCTTTGCAAGGAGAGGTCATTCCAGGCCCAGTTATGTCAATAATCTGTTACTACAGCCTAAATCTGGGATCTGTAAAGAGGCCCATTTAGCCCTCACACTGAGCTAGGACTTTCAACTTGGCTCTTTGCAATAACAAAAATGATATTTTAGTTTCCAGCCATACTCTATCAGGAACCCCATGTAAATCACAATACCCGGCAATAGGTAATTCTGCTCTTGAGAAACTTACCCTAATTTGCTAACTCTGAATAAGAAACACTCTTTAAAGTGCATAGAGGACCCGTGTACCCCAATGTTCATTGCAGCACTGTTTATAATAGCCAGGACATGGAAGCAACCTAGATGCCCATCAGCAGATGATTGGATAAGAAAGCTATGGTACATATACACAATGGACTATTGCTCAGCCATTAAAAAGAATTCATATGAATCAGTTCTAGTGAGATGGATGAAACTGGAGCCCATTATACAGAGTGAAGTAAGCCAGAAAGATAAACACCTATACAGTATACTAACGCATATATATGGAATTTTAAAAGATGGTAACAATAACCCTATATGCAGGACAGAAAAAGAGACACAGATGTATAGAACAGACTTTTGGACTCTGTGGGAGAAGGCGAGGGTGGGATGATCTGAGAGAATAGCATTGAAACACATATATTATCAAGTGTGAAACAGATCGCCAGCCCAGGTTGGATGCATGAGACAAGTGCTCAGGACTGATGCACTGGGAAGACCCAGAGGGAAGGGATGGGGAGGGAGGCAGGAGGGGGGATCGGGATGGGGAACACATGTAAATCCATGGCTGATTCATGTCAATGTATGGCAAAAACCACTACAATATTGTAAAGTAATCAGCCTCCAACTAATAAAAATAAATGAAAAGATAAAATAAAGTGCATAGAGGGACTTCCCTGGTGGTCCAGTGGTTAAGACTCTGCCCTTCCAATGCAGGCAGGGGATCAGGTTTGATCCCTGGTCAGGGAACTAAGAGCCCATATGCCATGTGGCCGGGCCAGAAAAAAAATTTTTTTAATGCAAAGAGATTTATAGCCATATTAATGATAATAATGAAATGCTGACAACAATCTAAATATTCACCACTAGATGTAGAAGTGACTGGTAAATTCACATGGCTGACTTTCATGCAACTGTAAAGGGGATATTTATAAAAATTGTATCATAGCATTGGAAAATGCTGTTGAAGTAACGTCAGAATAAAATCGAAGGTAGGATGAAGTCAAAAATTCTTACCAAGCCCCTACGCCTGACTCCTGACTTCTTCCCTGAATCGTTTCCACTATTTCTCAGCTATTCCTGCTTCCATTCCATCTCTTGAAGAAGCCAGGCTTCTGTACTCACTGGGTTTCATGAATTTATTAGCCTTTCCAACCCAGCAGAATGCAAGCCTGGGAAGAGCAAGGAGTTGCCTATTTGGATTCCTCCCATAGCCTGGCATTCAAAGCAGTGCTTGAAACACAGCAGGGGCTCCACAGATATTCATTTGAATGACAGACTTAAAACAACACGATGTAAATGTTTAAAAACATAAAAAGTAAAGAAGGAATGCCAAAAGGCAATCTTAATGATAATGCAATAATTTTAACATGAAGAAGATCATGCCAAGTGTGTGGGCCATGAAGCCAGTGCTTCATACATAAATGGAGAGAGATGGGGACAGACAGGACTTCTGCCCCCCAATCCCACTTCAGCTACAGCAGTGCTAACTTTCAGATTTATACACTGAACTTCTGTCCAAAATTTTGCTAAAAGACAGGGTTTTGTGGCTTAAAATTGCTTGAAAATAGTACCATTAGTGCTTTATCAGTATGAGCCTACTGTTTTAGATGTGGGGACCAGAACATTGCTGATACATACACCTATACCAATTAATTGGATATAAGCAATAATAAAGGAAATTATAAAGGGGAAATTTGGAAGAAAACAGATTTTTTAGGCCCAATAAATATTCCTAAAATAAAAGCACAGTGGGAGCTAGAAACTACTAGAAAACAGAACAAAACAAAACCAAAAACCCCAAAAGAATCGAATCATATTCACACATGGAATTCAAATTGAAAGCATTATAATATGTATTTGAAAATAAGATTACCTAAAATTCAGTTTGCCATACCTGGCCAGAGTCTCCAGTACAATATTCGGTAATATCACACCCATTCACAGCATCCCGACATTCATATCCTCGTGGCTGAAACTGCAAATCAAAACTCAACATTAGGAACCAATATTAATATTTCGAGTTAGTATTCTTGTATTCACCAGAAATCATAACATCCTTTCATTACCACTGCCAAACTCTTTTTATGAATCATCAAGGTAGTTTCAGAATAGAGATAATACCCAAAAATCACTCTCTGTAGTAAATATGAATCATTAACCAAGGCATTAAATGTTCAGATTTCAAAATCTGCTCTCTCAGAGTATTATGTTTGGAAAACACTGTGATGGCAATTATGTAAAGAAGAAACACTGGTGTGGCTTAAGACGAAGAACTAAATACTAAAATATAAGTATAAACATTTAGGACCTCTCTGAAGGCTGATATACACACTCAATCTGCACTAATTTATCTATTAGCTTGGATATTAGTCTTGCTTTAGCTAAATATATACAATCAGATTTCAATTAATTCATATGAATTCCCTTCAGTGATGCCAGTGAATGACTGCTGAATACAAGGCATTTTGTTTGACTAGGAGAGGGGCTGGTACAAGATGAAGGAAAGAGTCCATCATTTTCAAGCAATTTATAATCTGCTTGGGGACATAAGGCAAGAAAATCTAAGCTGGAATCTTATAGAATACCATAAGCCTAATACTCCTTTGGTATTGAATAAAGTTAAATCATATTATTTTCTGGTTTTAAAAACTATTAAGAATTTTATAGAATGAGAAAAAGAAAGATTTTAAAAATGACTTTTTAAAAATTAACCACAGTTTTCCAAAGATAGAAGTAATATTTCCACAGAAACAAAAGGTGTGCATATACACATATAAACTTACATACATATATTACTTCCTTGTCTGGCTCGTTTGCCTTTCTAAGGGATTTTAAAAATCAAATGTGAAAATATAAGGACTAAGTTTTATGCTCAGGCTCCAAAATAAATTAGGATGGGTTTTCAAGAAAAAGTTTGTAAGTGGGACATGTTATGAAAAACACCACAGAAATTGTCCCTCTTCTATTCAACCATTTAATTTGGTTTTCACCCATGTTAGTAGGGCAATTGCCAATGTTTATTTTGGAAGGATTACAGGTATACTTTCTTAGGGAGGTAGTGGAGAATAGGATTATTGGTTGTTGTTCAGTCACCCAGTCGTGTCCAACTCTTTGCCACCATATGGACTGCAGCACACTAGGCCTCTCTGTCCCTCACCATCTCCCGAAGTTTGCCCAAGCCTCATGTCCATTGCATCAGTGATGCCATCCAGCCATCTCATCCTCTGACACCCTCTTCTCCTTCTGCCTTCAATCTTTCCCAGCATCGGGGAAGTTTCCAATGAGTCAGCTGTTCGCATCAGATGACCAAAATACTGGAGTTTCAACGTCAGCATTAGTCCTTTCAACGAGTATTCAGGGTTGATTTCCCTCAAGATTGACTAGTTTGATCTCCTTGCTGTCCAAGGGTTTGTTGGTAGTGAATTATAATAAAGATAATTGTAGTAATTCACAGAATTTGGCTAGATTTATTGATTCAGTAAAATTGCTGGGCTAACACACAGTGTCCATCAACAAAAGTGTGAGAAGCTGTATAAATACTCAAGGTACACATTGCAATGTTTGGCTAATACGTCATCGATAAGAGAGACGAAACTGTCAGAGAACTCACAAGACACGAGGTACTATTGCAGCAAGGCCCATCGCTGCAGTGAGCCCCATTGGAGAGAGAGCACTTCTTACAGCACAGTCCATAGCATTCCTAGAGAAAACACTTCATGTGAGTAAGCGAGGAAACCCACCCGCTGGTCATTCTACATTTTCTCCACATGTGACATGCATTATTCACATGAGGAGATATATATAATGGTAAGCAAATATTTTAGGAAAGAATTAATCATTTTAGTGGTAGATTCCTTCCTGCTATACTTCTCAGTAAAGTATGATCTTCTAAGAAAGGACTTCTCTACCAAAGAGTAAGCTTATTTTTTAGCAGTCATCCTACCCTCGGTTAGCCCTATTATAATTTTAATACTCAATCTAGCTTTACAAAGACAAAAATATTACACAACACAGAAAGAATTGTCATGACTTGGTACAACTTGTCTGAGAGGAATATGGGCTATGAATTTTTAAGAGATATGAGTTTGATTGGAAGAATATATTAGGTTTCTTCAGACAGAGCCATAAGGACATGATTAATTCTAACATATCTGAGCTAGGATTAAGCATTGATGAGAGGGTTCACAAATAAAGGCAGTGAGGCCACAGTGAATGATGAGATAGACTTCTCACTAATGCTATTACTGTTTGCTCTGGGTAGAAGACGTGCTGAAAGTAGAAAAGATTTCTTATACTTACCACATGGATACCACAATCACACTCCTCCCCAGCTTCTACGTATCCATTTCCACATTCTGTGGGTTCAAATAGCTGAAAGAGGTTAGAAAGGTAAAGGGAAAACATTTCAATTTATCACAGAAAATCAATTTTCCAATTAGGCTACATACACACCCTATAATCATAGATATTCCTCTATGACCTATTGTTATGGCATCTTACAAATACATCTGTGTGGGAAACACTGTTCATTTATTAATAACACTTCTAAAAAACATATTTTAAATGGAGGTAATATCTCTTGGAGGATTCTCTGATGGTGGGTTCCAGAGATGACCTCTACCATTAGAGTTACTTTTTATAGAAATAAGCTGTCAAGATGAATAGATCAGTTTTCATTTTTGCTAATGGAGTTAAAATGCATCTCTAATAAGACTCATAGGTACCTAATTTGCTGACTTATATCCAGACAGCGTAGAAGATATAAAAACTGTCAAAAAGATAAAAATTCTTCAGTCACAGCTAAAGGTGATATATGCCACCAAGTAAATGCAAATAAACTTAGGGAAAAGTGTTGCTGGAAATCCATGCCCATCATTGTCACCGAAAAGAAAACTGCAGCATCTGAACCATATTAGGCAAACATGTAGGCATATGCACAGATTATAGACATTCCTCAATCATTCCTGGAGTGATGGAAGTGTCGAATTTCTAGAATAATCCACCCTCCTAATGCAATGATAATGCCAAATAAACTATATTACAGTACAGTTGCTGAGGCAGCTGATTATTTATGAGAAACATTTCCATTTCCCATTACCAGGGGCAGGATTTTTCTGTGTTGTCCACTACACTCAGGCGAAGACTGGAACAGGGAATTCCAATCCAAATGTTCAGAGTTATGTATCTGAGGGAGGGCTGCACACACCCAAGGAAGGACTGCCTCCCCCTGAGTCAGGCCAAGGGAGACCTGATCTTCCTTCTGCTTCCAGGAGGAATGCTGCTCTAAGAAGCAAGCAAGGTTTCCAGGACACTTGGGTGGGGCTTCCCCACGGGGGAATCCAGCTACTAAAATCAACAGTCCTCATTTCTGTGACATTCTGATCAGCAGAGAGGAGAAAAGAGAAAGGCAGACTGGAACATGATAGCTCTTTGTATCAGGCCTCCCACGTAAACCACTGCTAGATTCCATTCTTAGGGCTCTAAGGTCCTCCATCCGGAGACAGGCCACTGTCACAAATCAGATGGCAGACATGACAGCTGAGAAGGTTCCCAGAGGACAGAAACGATGTCCATAGATAATGTGAAAATAACACGTAAAACATGCACATATATATATATACCCATTGACTATAACACTTGGGAAAAAGTCAGTTCTTTCATGTGGGTTAGTCGCTCAATCATGTCCAACTCTTCGTGACCCTGTGGACTATAGCCCACCAGGCTCCTTGTCCATGGAATTCTCCAGGCAAGAATATTGGAGTGGGTTGCCACTTCCTTCTCCAGGGGATCCTCATGCATATATATATATATATATATATATATATGTATACATCCACTGACTATAACACTTGGAAAAAAGTCCGTTCTTTCATACATGCATATAAACCATCCCACAGTAATCCACAGGGGCTTTTAAAAAATTATTCCAATATGTCATTTAAAAAGACAGAATTCCATATTCACTAACTGCTAAAATTGAAGACATATAGGTACTTTTTTATTTAGTTTCCACATTATTGGAATAATTTCCTCTCTACTCTCAGGCAATCTCAGAAAGCTAATGATGGATCCTTATATACACACTAGAGCTCTTAGTATTTCCAAACAACTCAGTGTTGTTTCCTCAGGCGTGATGCTTATAATTAGCTGGTGAGCTGTACGGCAGGTAAAATTAGCCATGTACTTTGCAATTCAGAAATGCCAGCAGCTCACATTAATTCATTATTACTCACTGCACCCGTTTTAAACACTCTGAAGCTTTCAAATTTCTGTTGCATTGAGATCAATGCCATGAAAGGCAGGCGACTGAGTTTAATGATGCAAGGCCACTTTAAAATTCCTGTTTCTTTTTCTGCAGCCTTGCTGAGATTTTATACACGGGCATCAGAGTATCAGCCTTAACTTGGCAGTATCACTTAATTATGGGGATGGGAATAAATTATTCTGTCAGTTATCGACATCAGTCACTGTTTTTTCTTTTTAAAGCTAACATGATTTCCCTGCTCTCTCAATTTGCAGAGCATTAAGTATTTCGCAGAGCAATGGACTGTATTTGACTTATGATGTAGTGTCTTAAAAGGAAATATGAAATGTGCAATGTTAGAATGTCTATGCCATCTGCTAATTTGCACCAGTCCTGTCTTTTTGCCTTTAAGCAACTTCATTTAGAATGATTCTGCTATAGGTCTACAGTCCCAGATCTAAAATCCCGGGAGCTTAAGAATTCTGGCATTGTTGGATTTTAGAAAAGTATGATGCATTTACTATGTTCTGTAAAAGAGCCCTGAAAAGCCTGGTATACAGCCTAGAATTGAACACATTAACATTTCTGCAGTAAGATTTATGAATATTTACACTATGAGAGTTAAATAAAACTTTTCAGTTCAGGGCAAGTTTTACTGTCCACTGTGTTTCCTGAAAATTCACAAAAAACATTTCCAAATTTTCAGGGCTTTGAATGAAGGAATTGTGTATAAGAGATTGTTACATGAATAGTAATGAAATGCCATTGACAAATGGACCTTCTCAAGTAAAGAAATACATACATACAAATATGTATGTATGTATGCATAAGATCCATAAATACTTTGGGTCATTTTTTTTGGCTAGTTGATATCAGCAATGTTTTCTATCTGGGAGAATGGACATTCCTCTCCTCCCCCCAAAAAAAAGAAAGAAAGAAAAGCCAAGAAATTATTTATACTCCTACAGAAAATGTCAAGGGGAACAGAATTTTTGTCAGAGTAATGGTAATTACTAAAGTGATATATCTTACTAAATTACTAAAGTAATATATCTTAGTCTAACTCACTATCTCTTGGCAGCAGGATAAAGACCCTAACATGAGAACTTCAAGATATTTTAACGGAAGGACTGTCTGCCTGTTTTTTGGAGGGAGGACTGACAGCAGGGACAACTAGCATCGGAACACCAGAGTTTTGAAACAGTGAAGCTATGGTCTTGTCATTCATTGAATCAAGACTCACTCTTCAACACGACAAAGCCTTTTATAACTAAACATTAATCTGACTGGAAAGAAAACTGCTTTCCAAAACAAGTATCTGACATCTGGCCTATTTCCACTGTTAAAGAAAAAAAAAAAAGGAGAAATAAGCAGACTTTCTAAATTACTAACCTTTGTTGGCCTGTTGAAAAGACAGGCTCCACCCCCTCTCAGTAAAAAGTCTCTATACTCCAAAATACTGCACTTTGAGAACTTTCTGGAATGAGATACCCTGAGGAAATAAATAATCAATTATGTAAATAATTTACCCAAAACAGTCATCAAAGAAGAAAATTAAAACCCTTGAATTAGAACAAAATGATCACTCTGGATTCACGTGAAGTGAAGTCGCTCAGTTGTGTCCTACTCTTTGCGACCCCATGGACTGTAGCCCACCAGGCTCCTCCATCCATGGGATTTTCCAGGCAAGAATACTGGAGTGGGTTGCCATTTCCTTCTCCAGGGGATCCTCCCAACCCAGGGATTGAACCCAGGTCTCCCACATTGCAGGCAGACACTTTACCATCTGAGCCACCAGGGAAGCGCCAGGGGTTCACGTGATTCTACACAAATTTCGACAAGGCACTTATGTTCAAACTGCCAAATAAGTATGTGTGCTAGAGCCTGTAAAAACAGAAATCCAAAGGAAGTCACAGATTTGGGAGGCTAGGTTACAACCTCCTTAGTAGTCAAGCCCTTTTGTACTCAGACTTGATCGAGTTTTTGAAAAGTTCATCCCGAAACTTCATCTAGGCTGTAGAAATGTGGTCACTTTTATTTGCTCTCAGTAAAGATAGGGCTTCCCTGGTGGTGCTAGTGGTAAAGAATCCACCTTCCAATGCAGGCGATGTAAGAGACGTGGTTTCTATCCCTGGATAAGGAAGATCCCCTGGAGGAGGGCATGGCAACCCACTCCAGTATTCTTGCCCGGAGAATCACATGGACAGAGGAGCCTGGTGGGCTATAGTCCACGGGGTCACACAGAGTCGGACACAACTGAAGCAACTGAGCATGCACATAGTAAAGATAAGCACCATTTCTTTTTTTTTTTTTTTTTTGCCTCTGAATTAAATAAAAGGAGCTTAGGAACCCATAAGATTTTACTTTGGAGGAGGGAATTGTGAGTCAATTGATTAAAGATATTACATTGCAGGCTTTAGCAACAGAACTGAGGTAAACAAGGAAACCCTAAAGAGATGTGTTAGACTATGGATGTTTTTATATGCATATATACACAACCAAACCAGAATTAGGGTAAGCTCCTTCTGAATTAGAATTAGGTAATAGCTCCTTATTCTCAACTTCAAATACTACTTGGTAAAATCCATGATTTTGCAAGAATATAATATCAAAACCAAAGGAATATAATATAACTTCTTTGTGAGTTAACCAAATTTCTATCACTATGTCAGTACATGCTGCGGCTGTGGTGAGTAGTTGCTAGTGTGTTCGACTCTTTGCAACCCCATGTACTATAGCCTGCCAGGTTCCTCTGTCCATGGGACCTCCCAGGCAAGAATACTGGAATGGATTGCCATTTCCTTCTCCAGGGGATCTTCCTGACCCAGGGATTGAACCCATGTCTCCTGCTTGACAGATGGATTCTTTACCACTGAGCCACCTGGGAAGCCCATCAGAATATACATATTAAGTTTAAATAGTTTTATTATATCCTATGGAGAGTCAGTCTAAAAATTCGTTTAGAAACTGGAAGTTCAGAAGACCTCGCTTGATAGAACCAGTATTATGAATGGTGTTACCTCACAAAAGCCTGACTAAGCAATAATGTTGCAAAACTATGGTATAATAGAAAGGGAAGCATCAAAGTTAACAGTCAAGTCTGAACTAATTTCTAGAAACACGTGCTCTAAAGTAGCAGGCATAACTGTTTATAATAGCCAGGACATGGAAACAACCTAGATGCCCATCAGCAGACGAATGGATGAGGAAGCTGTGGTACATATACACCATGGAATATTACTCAGCCATTTAAAAGAATTCATTTGAATCAGTTCTAATGAGATGGATGAAACTGGAGCCCATTGTGCAGAGCGAAGTGAGCCAGAAAGATAAAGACCATTACAGTATACTAACACATATATATGGAATTTAGAAAGATGGTAACGATAACCCTATGTGCAAAACAGAAAAAGAGACTCCTATGTATAGAACAGACTTGTGGACTCTGGGAGAAGGCGAGGGTGGGATGTTTCAAGAGAACAGCATTGAAACATGTATATTATCTAGGGTGAAACAGTTCACCAGCCCAGGTTGGGTGCATGAGACAAGTGCTCGGGCCTGGTGCACTGGGAAGACCCAGAGGGATTGGGTGGAGAGGGAGGTGGGAGGGGGTCCGGGATGGGGAATACATGTAAAAAAAAAAAAAAAAGATACACTATGGTTGTGATAAAAATAAATAAATAAATAAATAAATAATTAAAAAAAAAAAAAAGTAGCAGGCATAATGGCTGAGTCTCTCTTCAAGCCTTCATGCTCACATGCCTCGTGTTCCCGAGCTGGACTCCTGGTGGGGAAATAAGGAAGGGACTCTGTAAAAGCAGTCAGGGAGGGGGCAGGACCAGAAACGGTGATGTGGTGAAGATGTCTGACATGGGCACAGGAGGTGGGAGAGATGCGAGTGAGGAACTTCTATTTATTGGGAGGGGGCTCTAGTTTAGGAGGCCTTGGGGCAGTGGCTGCAATGGGGCAGGGGTCCCTGGGAAAGATTATGTTTCTAGGCTTTAATTCACAGATGTACTAGCAACCCTTAGCGAACAGCTCTAGTTTCCAAAGAGGAGTTAGGTGAGGAAATGTTCAAATGCCTATCAGAAGAAGACTACCTAATTTAGTCATGATAAATCTGTCTCAATAATTTTTTAAGTCTTATTGATTATATAAGGAATACAGTACAATTTTATTACAGCAAACATGTCTATTTATGAGTTCCTTAAAATATAAATTGTTGACTAACTGGGTTTTCACTGACAACCAGCTTTTATCCTAAGTGTACTAAAAAATTAATGCAACCACTAAACTTAGAAGCACTTAATCATGTGCTTCTTTTAATGGTTAATAGAAGTAGAAGCAGTTACTTTATTTTACTTTTATTAACAACTTTAAATAAAAAGCTCAAAGTACAAAGTGAACCTGCTATTTCATTTTTTAAAATATCAGATAATGAATTATTGAATTTATTTTAAGGCTTAGCTTAACAGACCAGTACCTGAGAGACTATAGCTGATAATAGATACCAATTTCAGAAAGTTATATATCACATGCAGGTACAATGAAAATTTACCCTGTTTCTTCCATGATGCAGCCACCCCAGGATTCTGTGCAGTCACACTCTAGTCCAGTGAAACAATACAAAGCAGTGGAAGAAAAGGGAAACAACAAAAGTCACATCTTTAATTTGCATTGCAGCTCTTAAAATAATTCCTTATTACCAATTCCATGTCAAATGGGTACAGAACATGATGTCTCACCAAACAAAACCTATTTCTTTCTCTCTTTTTTTTTTTTTTTTGGTTGGAAAGGAAAGGTTGCTTTAATCAGGAAGCCAGAAACTTGGGGAGAAGGCAGACTCATGTCTCAAACCAACTCTGAAGATTCTGTTTGGCCATGACAGTTTTTTAAGGGAAAAAATGAGAAGAAATTTCAGTGAGTCAGGAGGGCAAGAGGTTGGATTCTGCATCATTTTCCATTGTGTGCAGACTGCCTGACTCCTCCTGATCTTTCTTCAGATGCTATCTTGCCCAGCTGATTTGCCTGCAGGATTGCTATGGGGCTGCTGGGGGTGGAGAGCTAGTCATTCTTTAACTCCTTAATTATTCATTGCTACTTCTTTAACCTAGGAAAATTATCAACAGCAAAACCTATTTTATTTAAATTAATATTTCTTTTTCCTTTCCAACAAGTATAGCTTGCCTCCTAAGACAACAGCTGCAAGAAATAAAATTGTGCCTCTCTTCATTTTTGTAACTCAGAGAATTCAATTCAGTTTCTAGTTTAATGTTTAATGGAAAGTACTGTGGTCCAAGGTAGGCTTTACAAACTAGTGTTTCAGTCCAAGTTCTGTCTGATGAGAGTTTCACAGGCAAGTGACTTAGCATTTCTTGGGTCTCAGGGCTTCCACCTCTAGAATGGGAAGGTATCTCTGTGCCCATCTCCCAGAATAGTACTGGGGCTCACATGAGATCGTAGCCTATGTGTTCTCTGGGAACTGCAAAACTCTACTGCACAGTTCAGTGAGTCCTCACTGAAGTCCTGCTAACTGGACATTAGGGAAGAGAATTCAGCCTGCCATAGTCAAAGCAAGCATCAGCCATAGGCTTGAAGAACACTAAGCTAAAACATACAGTACAAGAGAGCAATCTAAAATAGAAATGTAAGGTCATCTAAATTAAATAACAATCATAAACTTAACACAGATACCACAGATGGACATATGGATATTGTGATAGGCTAGCCTTTTCATTCATTTTTTTTCTATTCTCTTTTCTGTGATAGACAAAGATATCTTTAAAGACTTCCAAATGGATTTTTAAAAATTCAAAATTCAGAACTAATCTATCTGAACAAACAATTCACAAAGGAATAAAGAATTTTAGAAAGGAAGGAACTATGCCTGGTATGAGTAATGAACCCTATTGCTCACCCTTCTCCATCATATGACTCAGTAAGATCTCTTAGCTGCCCCCAGCACTGGCCTCTTCTTGGTTCCAAGTTTTTCAAACAAGATTATAACAAGGTCCTACTCCTTCTGATTTTCGGGCATTGATGCCAGCCAGTGAAACCTGAATCATCTCCTTTAATGCATACTCTGGGAAAGCAAACACGCTGAGCAAGAAATTAACAGATGAAAGTTTGTGGAGATTTGCTAAATGCCACCAAACTTAATGTACCCATAAAGTGATGACCTAATAGGCCCTTAAAGGGAATCAAGACATCTTGGATATAGATTTTATTTCAAGTTTCCATAACACTATCCATTAATGACAATTATTTGATAGTAGTCAAAAAGGTATAAAGCATAGGATAACGTTAAGGTAGATATTTATCCTTTTCTTCCCTGGGGAGGCGGGTGGAGAAGGACACCTTTATTCCCAGCATCTGGTATTTTCACAGAGGAGAGTAGATCTCCACTTAATTCCCAGGTAAGAGATTAGTTGGAGTGAATACCTCAGTCTTTTTTTCCGCAGGATGACATTGTGTGCTTCCTAGGCACTTTGGCCTTCTGCCACAAAAGTGTATTATTAATAGAAACTATATTTTACTATTGTATTGCTATAAAGAGGAATATAATCCAAGTTGGATTTTATACTGATTTAAAAGAAATTTAAGATGTTCAAGGACCCCCCCCCCTCAAATTACTGTGGGCCTTTAACACATCACCTCTAGAATCTCAGACTTGTCTTTCCATCTGCCTCTCCTCTGGTTAATGAGGAAAGTGATATCCAGTAGTCGCTGGCTGTGTTTTCCTACAGGATGGGATCTGTGGCTGTTTCTACTCCATCGAGGCCCTGCCAGCTCAGTGGAGGAGTATTATACTCTATCACCTGCCCCCAGGATGGGCTGCCTACAAGGGAAGCTTCTCTAATTTAATGATGGTACTATGTTGATAAATCTCATTAGGGTTTAAGCTCCTTTTAATTCCAGATCTTTTTTTCTGATCCAACTGAACTTGTGATGGAGCTCCACTGGCATCTTGTGTCTGTATTCAACTGATTAGAACCTACAGGCTGAGTATTCACCTCTACGCGCCCCAACATTCTGCAGTGTGAGAAAGAGCTGATCATGCCCTGAGAAAGGATGATTTTATAGACGTTGAAAGGGACATTTCTCCAACCCACACAGATTAAGAGTTACCTTAAATTGCTCATTTCTATCATTTGTTTAGGGGAAGGAGATATACCACAGTTAAGCTATTATGACTTAGGAATGAAAAATATTTCTTTTTTGACCGGACATGCATTATACAGACAGAATGGCACATGAAAGTAAGAAGGTCAATGTACATACTTGGCTTTCTGCTAGAAGGTTCCCATTGGATTCCAAGGTTTTGAGCCAGGCTCTGCGATAATACTTGTGCCACTGCCATTGGAAGACCATACTGTTTTTCAGAGTTGAAAGTGTGTGGGAAACATTTGAGAGAGGGCACAAAGCTAGTTATTATTTCTTAATCATTACCACATATCTTCTCAGTCCCCTAAGTAGAGCCTCACAGCATCAAAACACGGCATATGCTCCTTATCACTTCTTCCTTGCAACTGGGCCCAAGAAGCAGAAAGCCTCTCTCACTATGTGGCATCTCTCAGAACTTGACGTTTTCACATGGAAACACAAAATCATAAAAGGCTGTGCCCCATTTCACCTCATACCAAACCGAGAGTAAATTCAACTTACTACAAATCTGTCAAGAGAAGTCTCCACTGAATGATGGCTACTGGGATAATCTAGTACCATTATATATTCAGGAACTGACCAAGGGTTAGATTTAGTTGGTTCTACTTGGAGGGTGTGTTAAACCTAACATGGGCAGAAGAGCAGATAATTCTTTAAAAAGTCATAACAGAAGGATTAACAAGATTATAAAAACTTATCTACAGAGGCCAAGAAATTTCTGGGCCAATCTTCGGTTTGCAATTGCCTGACAAATATGAAAGACTATCATTATGATATGAAACAAAAGCTCTTTTCTAACACTAAAAATCACTTTGGGTTCTATTTACTAATACAAACCACTTACACTATATTCTCAATGTCATTACCATTTTAAATAGGTCTGAGAAGGGATGTAAACTAGGCCACAGGGAGGAAAGAAATCAGATGCACAGATAAAGATCTACTTTAGGAAAATTGATGACATTTACCTCATTCACACCAACTCCCCTTGTGTGAGAACAGACACCTCCAAAGTAACTCAGGCTGCTTCTCTTATAGTGGAATGTCACACGCCTTAGGAAAAATAACTGCTATTAGGAAACCAATGTAGTGACCATTATATTTCAATTTTATTCCATTCATATTCCAATTAATTCCTTTAATTCCAACTTTATTCCATTAACATTCAATTTCAATACATCTATTCTCCTACACCGAATACTCCAAACTAACCTTCCTTCAGGAAGCCAAAAACTACATTTTAAATACTTCTAAATGTATGTTACCATAAATACCTTTAAAATTATGTTAAGTAATCTCAGTTGAGTCAAAATCAATTGAGCACCTCACTAAGCACCACATACTGGCACAGACATTGAGGGCACAAAGATAGAGACCACAGTCCTTGATTTTTTTTAGTAGAGACTATCTAGTAGTTATACAAAATATTGACAATTGTAAATTGCTGATTAAACACTGAGAGAACAGCAAAAATAACAGGAGCGAATAAAGAAGGAAGAAGGACTTTGGTTGGTTTGATCCCAGGGCAGAACCTTAGAGGACTGTCTGAAAACAGCTTAGCCACCAGTGGGGAAGTGAGCACCTCATCAGACGTAAACAAGGTATCTATCCCCTTTCTTTAGTGATGGAACATCAATTTTACTCAGTAGATCATTTCAAAAGACTATCTTTCCTAGACTCTCTTACAGCTCATTGTGGCCACTGTGATAAAGATCTAGTAAATGATTTGTTGATGAAATTGATATGCATGTTTTCAGGAAATCTACTACAACGGGTTAGCTGGAGGGAGGGTCCTTTCACACTTGTCCCTGCCTGGCATTCCTATTGCCTGTGATGAAGGCTGGAGTGTCAGCAGCTGTCCTGAGTCATGAGCTGACCTTGAAGATGGAAGGTCTGAAGGGAGGGAAGTGCTCTGAAAGTAGATCTCATGACTGTGGAACCACCGTTTCAACACCGGGCAGCCTACTTCTGTGCCTCTTATGTAACAGAGGAATCAACCTCAATCTTGTTCAGGATAGATTTACCAATACATAACCTAACTGATACAAGAAAGGGATAGAGAACAATATCAAGCCAAGGGCTGGGAATACATACGAGATGAGATGCACAGCATCAGCATGCTGCCTGATACGCTGTCGGTATTTGGAGAACTCGTGGAGCATCTGCACGAGGTTGGTGGTGATGTCAATGTGATCCCTCTCGGTCCAGGTCTCCACAGCCACCAGGACAACCCTGGTATTAAGCTGCTCCTTGTAAATCTGAGGGTAGACAACAGGACAGGTGCAGGAGGAAAACACTGGGTCAAACATGCACAATCAGTGATTCAGAGTCAGTGGAAGGACAGGAGGGGAGGTGAGAGGAGAACATGAGGTCAGAATTAGCTCATCAGAGAGAATCTTCTTTTCCTTTCTCTTTTTCAAGAGCAAAAAAAAAGAAAAAAAAGAAGAAGAAAGAAAGAACAGTCACAAAGTTCAGCCTCTCGTACAAAGTTACTTAAATCCCCAATCAGCACTTTCAGTAGCCAGCATCTCTCTAGGGCATCACAGACCTAAAGTATGGACATAAATTCAAATCAGGGTTCAGCAAAACCACTCTTCCAAACCTCAGTGAATAACAGGTTGGAGTCTGATATACTCGCTCTGAGTACGTGTGATATGATCAGTTATTCCTGCAGGATTGGAACAGATCACTAAATCCTTGGACAAGCATGAACACCATGGTTGGCTTGTCCTTGGAATCCTTGTTACATGAAAAGTAAAATAACACTGGAAGAGAAACAAATTTGAGGCCAAAAAGAGGGAAGAGCAGACTTATATTACCCATGTCCCTCTCACTACAGGGTGACATCACTCACAATACTTAAATTGTACTTTCTGCTCTTTCTCTCCTTTTGGCCCAATAGCTAAAGAATTCACTCATGTAAGCAATTTCGATGAATGTTTTGTCCTATTTTCAAGCTAATTAAGAAAATAACGGATGACTTTACAACACACTGAAGAAACACCATCATGCCTAAATTAACCTGATGCTATGATGATTTTACAACAAGGAGTGAGTTAAATGTCATGTCTTTGAAAAAACAGTCGGTCAACTTCAGAACCTTGTATGACAACTCAAAATAAAAATGACACGTTGCAAGATGTGATTCTATTCAGCCATGGTGAAATGATAAAACATGAAGATTCCACCAAGTAAATAGCTAGGGCATGGGAAAAGTGAGGTTTAATATTCTCTTTTTCACATCCACTTATACTTATCCTCTGAGAAGACTGACAAGGGCCGAAATTAAAGGAAATTAATAAACCCGGTGATAACTGGCTTTCAGAATTTCAATCTTAACTCTACATGACATTCTCTTACCCTCTCCCCATATTATTCTGTTCCACTGTTCCTGGGCTAAGTTGCTTCAGTTGTGTCCAACTCTTTGCAACCCTATGGACTGTAGCCCACCAGGCTTCTCTCTCCATGGGATTCTCCAGAAAAGAATACCGGAGTGGGTTGCCATAGTAGTAGTAGTTAGATCCTACTAAGGGGATCTTCCCGACCCAGAGAGTGAACCTGGGTCTCCTGCAGGTGGATTCCTTACTGCTGAGCCACCAGGAAAGCCCAGCTGTGCCCACTAGGTATTATATGAGTGTTTAGATGATTAAAGGCTTTTGGACTGTTTAATAAATTTAAGGCAAAAAAGAAGATGGTTCTTTGGGAAAAAATAGTATCATTTAGATATTAAGCAATTTATAATGTTTTTCCCAGTTAAGAGGGAATACACAAAAAATATCAGATAAATATATATATATTTAGCTTGCAAAACAGAACTTTACATTAGAATACACAAAATATTATGCTGTTTATTTATACCTATTCAAGTTGAATTATTTATTGGGACACAATGAACAATATTCACACTTTATGGATTTCCTATCAGAATGAGAAGAGGAAAAAATATGAACAATTTAGGGATTAGAAGCCTTTTTTAAGGAGATATATATTTTACTTTTAAATTAGCTCTATTTGGGAACTGTACTTAACTTTGTCATCTAAAAATACAGTCTGAAGCATTCTCATAGGAACACTAAGAAAAAAATTTGGGTTCTTTAAAAAAAAAAAATTTGTACTGCCTATATTCACCAAACATAATCCACCTCAATCTATTAGTTTTTCTGCCATATATTTAAGATGACAAGCTCAGCTGATTATTATTAACAAAGCCTCACTTGCCAAGTTTAATTCACACTTGTTCTGTAGATAATTTTCTTTACGTTTTGTCCTCCATAGACTCTGGTGGAAATAATATCTAGATATCACCCAGAAGGAACATCAGTGCAACTTTGGGATCCCAAGAATAACTCAACAATCCCCTGAAACCCCGACAACACTGCTCTTTGTGATTCAGACCAGTCTATAATTTCTTAGCCAAATGAGCTTAAGGATAGTGTTCTTAATTTTGTCCCAGAAACAACTAAAGCAACAAGTAAATAATGGAGATATAAACCATTCCATCTTGAAAAAATGGGTTCAAGAAAACCAGGATACTTACAGAATCCACAAGGTTGACCACAGACTTTGCAAAGTTGTTCGCATGTGCAAGAGAAGAACGACACTTCTTATACTGGGGTCGGGAGGAGAGGGGACGGGGCGGGGAGACAAAGACCAGTCACTGTCAAACCATAATTTAATGATAAATTTTCAAAATTCCATAAAAACAGGGATCTGACAGCAAGAGTAGAAATGGGAATTAAAAATACTGACTTCAATTTGTGCTGTATTTGGACATACCAGTGTTCTTATTTTATTTCTCTGTTAAGCAGGAAAAGTATAACTGTCTAAAATACCCATGATGAAACCAACACAACACTGTAAAGCAGTTATCCTCCAACTTTAAAAATTAATTAACTAGCTAATTAATTTTTAAAAATACCCATGATGTTCTGGGTAATGGGGAGGGCCGAGTGATTCCGTGTGAGAAACTTTACACTTGAGCAGTAAGCTGTTAACCACTCTCAATGTCTAACAAATACAACCCTTTTTAAATTTGTTACTTTACCAGTTTATAAAGAGTGTAGACCAAGAAATTTAATCCCTACAGGACACCCTTCTCATTTGAATTCAATCTCATACAAAGATCAAGAAGATTTCTTAGGCAACACTTTATATTCAGATTGCATAATAAAACATACATTTTAATATATCCTTTCAGAAGAATACCTCCTCCAAACGAAGCCTTTTGCTTTTGACAGCTCAGAAGTCAAAGAAGAGATAAAAAATACAAATGAAATGTGCCAACAGTATGGTTGTTTATGGTTATTTATGACCATTTAAGAAAATTAAGTAAATTAATAGAATAATTACATAACATCTGAAGGGCTACAGTTTTAGTAAGGAGTACTTAGCTTAACATGGCTTTGAGAGGACATTTGAAAACTAAAGTTTACCACAAGGGGATCATGGCCTCTGTTGAGGAAAAAGAAAAACATCTTCAAAACTACCAAATAAGGTATGCACCATATCTTTAAAATTTGACTTCAATTATAATTATTAAAAACTGAACTTTTCATAATATTCTTTTTTTCTCCTTGGTCCATTTTCACACTATAAATTTTTCAGAATCCCTTTATTTCATTCTCTTTAACCCTGTTACTGTGTTTTTAAAATGAAGAGTAAGTCTTAATGCTGATGTATCTGATATAAAATTTTTATAATATCAAGCATACTGACAACCCATGATAAATATGCAATAAATCAGTATTGTGTTACTAAGAGCATCATTAATTTATGGCTATTTATATTTATAATATTTGCTATGATGTGAATATTTGTGTGCCCCACAAATTTATGCTAAAATTCCAAACTCCAAAATGATGGTATTAGGTGGGACCTTTGATCAGTACTTAAGTTATGAGGATGGGTTCTTCATGAATGGGATTAATGCCTTATAAAAAAAGTCTCTAAAGAGATCCCTAGTCCCTTCCACCATGTGAAGATACAGTGAGATATTTTAACAGGTAAGTTTTAATTTAGCACAAAGAAGTTGCTGTAAAGAGCTCAGCATTTTAAGTTGCCTAGCAAATTACACAAGCTGAAAAATTTCAAAAATATCTTTAAAAGTAAAAGCAAAAGTCTCAACATTAAGTCTCTTGGGGGTGATGAAATATTTGGAAACTGGATAGAGGTAATGGATGTACAACTAAATGCCACTGAAATGCACACTTTAAAAAAGTCCTGACATTAAGAAGTACTTATTTCAAAAAGAAAGGGAAACTATTAGTTGACATCTATTCTAGGGCAGTGGTGGTACATATCCAAATGAATTTGTTTTGCTTCTGAACATTAATCTGTCCTTTTGGGATATGTCCTTTTATAGTATAATGAACATGGAAAGTATAACATGCAAGTTAAAAAATGAGAACTTCAAAAGTCTATCAGAATGTGATGTTTTTTATTTCATATTTGTAACTTCCACCTCTTTCTTTTTAGAAAGATCACTCCGCTTGCTGTGAGGGGAGTGAATTAGAGAGTCAAGAATGGACGAAGAGAGACCTGTTGGGAAAATATTGTAATAGTCCAGGTTAAAAAATAATGAAGATAGGACACCCATGTAGGATGTGGAAGATAAGGAAAGAGAGTAAAAGATGACTCTGAGATTTTGAACTAGAATAGCTGGGGTGGAGGCAGGGGAGTGCCATTTAAAATGATGAGAAAGACTAGGGATAAAGCAGTTTGGACTAAGGAACCGAGAGTTCTGATTTATAAAATGTTACATGTGAGATATCTACCCAATATTGAAGTAGGGAGCCAGATATATTAATAGAACTATGGAACTCAGCAGGTTAGAGTATAGAGTTGAGAGTGATGAATTTAAGTCACGATATAATTTAAAAACTTAGGACTGGAAGTGGTCGCTTGAGGGAAAGTTATAGAAAGAAAAGAGAGCCCAAACCAAGCTATGAGGCATTCTCAAAATTCTAAAGGCCCAACATAAAAGACTAAGAAGAAACGGCCAATGATGTGAGACAGCTATTGTGTCATAGAAGCAGAAAGATGAAGACAATATTTCAAATAGGAAAGACTAAACAACTGTATCCAATGCTGCTGAGAAGACAAGTCTGACAAGGAAAAAGAGTGACCACTAGGTTTATTCACTTGAAATTCCGTATAATTGGGTACCTAGGATTTACTAGGATCTATGATTAGGATTTCTCCTACAACAAATATTGGCCCTCCTCAGTGAGGTAAGTTTTATCATCCCCATTTACAAATGTGGAAAGTGAGGCTCAGAGAGGATAAATAATTATCCAAGATCAAACAGCTGGAATTCAATGCTTACTCTGGGTCGATGTAAGAGATAAACTCGTTAACAAGTAATATAAAATAGTTTATGTGCATGCCTAATAAATCATGATCATTGATGAGAAATCATAATTTGTTGGGGTACCTATAAAATATGTGCATGCATGCTAAGTCACTTCAGTCGTGTGCGACTCTTGGCAATTGCATGGCCTGTAGTCCGTGGTTTTCTCCAGCCAAGAATGCTGGAGTGGGGGACTACAGTGGTTAAGATTCCTGGCTTTCACTACAGGGGGCACGAGTTTGATCCCTGGGTGGGGAATCAAGCTCCCACATGCCACACCCTGTGGCCAAAAAAAAAAAAAAAAAAAGAAAATACTGAAGTGGGTTGCTGTGCCCTCCTCAGGGGATCTTCCTGACCCAGAGATAGAACCCACATCTCTATGTCTCCTGCATTGGCAGGTGGGTTCTTTACTGCTAGTGTCACCTGGGAAGCCCTATAAAACATAGTGACTTTTAAATAAGGAAAACCACATGAGGTTTAAACTGAAATATATGAGTTATCATTACATATTTTCACCTATTGACTTATACATAAAGATATAGTAACAATGTAGAAAAACATTTGTTTTTCATGCACTTTAAATTATTTCAATTAGTTTTCTAATAGAAAAAGATGTTTCATATTTATATTAATACTTAGCCTAAGCAGCTCAAAGAAATGTTTGCAGACCCCTATCAAGGCTATAATTGGCTCACAAATTAGACTCCGCCAGCCTGCTGCTAAAATGCTTTACACAAAATTGAGAGATTTTTTTCTAATTGAAAGCTACTGATAATATATGATGCTTGTTCCAAATAAGTTATCTGCATTTTTTCAGGAAGGCAATATTAGGTTACTCTGAATTAAAGAGGTATGCTTGAAAGTAAATGTAGGCAAAATGTTTCTATTTCCTGCATGAATGAGAATTAATTACACACACAAAGAAAAATATGCAATCTCCATTTATGAACTAATTTATTTTCACATTTTCCGACTGCTGAGAATAATTTACATTTAAAGTGTCAAATTTACTTCTCCTTTCTGAATAAGCACAATCCTTAAGATATTTGATTTTTGCATGAAATAATGCTATTTGCAGCAACATGGATGGCCCTAGAGAACATCTTACTGAGTGAACTAAGTCAGAGATAGACAAACATCATATAATACCACTCATGAATCTTTAAAAAAAGATTCTTTAATCTTTAAAATTTTTAAAGTAGAATCTTTAAAAAAAAAAGGTACAAATGAACCTATTTACAAAACAGACAGAGTTAAATGTGTAGAAACCAAGCTTATGGTTACTTAGTGTTAGTCGCTCAGTCGTGTCCAATTCTTTGTGACCCCATGGACTGTAGCCCTCCAGGCTTCTCTGTCCCTGGAGTTTCTCAGACAAGAATACTGGAGTGGGTAACCATTCCCCTCCCGAGGAGTTCTTCCTGACCCAGGGATTGAACCTGGGTCTCCCGAATTGCAGGCAGATTCTTTACCAATTAAGCAACCAGGGAAGCCCCAAACTTATGGTTACCAGGAAGGAAAGGCAGGTAGGGATAAACTGGAAGATTGAGATTGACATATTCACATTGCTATGTGTAAAATAGATAACTGATAAAGACCTACAATACAGCACAAGGAATTCTACTCAAGACTCTATAATGGTCTGTATAGGAAAAGAATATAAAAATGAGCGGATATCTTGTATGTATAGGAATAACTGATTCACTTTGTGGTACACCTGAAACTAACACAATATTGTAAGTCATCTATATTCCAATAAAAATTATTTTTAAAATATTTGCTTTTTGAAAAAAAATTAAAATTAGAGCTTGATTTTCAACCTGAGGGTTACAGTTATGAAAATAAATGTGTTGCCTCATGTAGCACAAAGATTATAAGATGAGCACTCTCAGAGTGAAGACATTCTAAAACCCAATAGCAAACATCCAGATATTAAAAAATAGATGTCAGACTTTCCTGGTGGTCTAGTGCTTAAGACTCCATGCTTCTACTGCAGGGTGTACAGGTTCAGTCCCTGGTCAGGGAGGTCCCCACCTGTTGTGTAGTGCAGCCAAAAACATTTTTTTAAATAAATGACAATTATTCTAGTTTAGTTTTACTTTGACACTCAAATTTAAGTACCTGATCCATATTCTGATTTATCTCTTATTAAGTATTCAAACTCAAAAACTATCTTCATCTCATATAAAGCACATCTTTAAAAAATAACTTTTTTCAACTCTCATTTCATGAATTTCTGGGTGGATCATAACAAACTGGAAAATTCTTAAAGAGATGGGAATACCAGGCCACCTTACCTGTCTCCTGTGAAACCTATACACAGGTCAAGTTAGAACCAGACATGAACAACAGACTGGTTCAAAACTGGGAAAGGAGTACATCAAGGGTGTATATTGTCACCCTGCTTATTTAACTTATAAGTAGAGTACATCATGATAAACTCTGGGCTGGATGAATTACAAGCCAGAATCAAGACTGCTGGGAGAAATATCAACAACCTCATAAATGCAGATGATACCACCTTAATAGCAGAAAGTGAAGAGGAACTAAGAGCCCCTTGATGAAGGTAAAAGAGGAGAGTGAAAAAGCTGGCTTAAAATTCAACATTCAAAAAATTAAGGTCATGGCATCCAGTCCCATCACTTCATGGCAAACAGATGGGGAAAAAGTGGAAATCGTGATAGATTTTATTTTCTTGGGCTCCAAAATCACTACAGATGATGACTGCAGCCATGAAAATTTTTTTTGAACATTTTTTAATGTGTTTATTTTCTTTTTTTATATTTTTTTTATTTATTTGTATTAGTTGGAGGCTAATTACTTTACAATATTGTAGTGGTTTTTGCCATACATTGACATGAATCAACCATGGATTTACATGTGTTCCCCATCCTGATCCCCCCTCCCGCCTCCCTCCCCACCCCATCCCTCTGGGTCTTCCCAGTGCACCAGCCCTGAGCACATTCATCCAACCTGGGCTAGTGATCTGTTTCACCCTTGATAGTATACTTGTTTCAATGCTATTCTCTCAGAACATCCCACCCTCACCTTCTCCCACAGAGTCCAAAAGTCTGTTCTGTACATCTGTGTCTCTTTTTCTGTTTTGCATATAGGGTTATTGTTATCACCTTTTTAAATTCCATATATATGTGTTAGTATACTGTATTGGTCTTTATCTTTCTGGCTTACTTCACTCTGTATAATGGGCTCCAGTTTCATCCATCTCATTAGAACTGATTCAAATGAATTCTTTTTAATGTGCAGGCATGAAATTAAAAGGAGCTTGCGCCTTGGAAGAAAAGCTATGACAAACCTAGACAGCATAGTAAAAAGCTGACACATCACTTTGCTGACAAGGGTCTGTATAGTCAAAGTGAAAGTGAAAGTTGCTCAGTCGTGTCCAACACTTTGTAACCCCATATACAATATAGTTCATCGAATTCTCCAGGCCAGAATACTGGAGTGGGTAGCCTTTCCCTTCTCCAGGGGATCTTTCCAACCCAGGGATTGAACCCCAGTCTCTCACATTGCAGGCAGATTCTTTACCAGCTGAGTCACAAGCGAAGCCCAATAGTACTAGAATGGGTAGCCTATCCCTTCTCCAGCAGACCTTCCCAATCCAGGAATAGAACTGGGGTTTCCTGCACTGCAGGCGAATTCTTCACCAACTGAGCTATCAGGGTTTTTCCAGTAGTCATGTGTGGATGTGAGAGTTGGACCATAAAGAAGGCTGAGCACTGAAGCTTTCAAATTGTGGTGCTGGAGAAGACTTTTGAGAGTCCCTTGGATGGCAAGGAGATCAAACCACTCAATCCTAAAGGAAATCAACCCTGAATATTCATTGGAAGGATTGATGCTGAAGCTGAAGTACCAATACTTTGGCCTCCTGATATGGAAAGCAGACTCATTGGAAAAGACCTAATGCTGGGAAAGTGAGTGCAGGAGAAGGAAGGGGTGACAGAAGATGAGATGCCTGGATGGCATCACCAACTCAAAGGACATGAGTTTAAGCAAACTCTGGGAGATAGTGAAGGACATGGAAGCCAAGGGTGCTGCAATCCATGAGGTTGCAAAGAGTTGGACACAACTTAGCGACTGAACAACAACAACTCTCAAAAGAAAAATAATTCTTATAAAATGACCCACTTATCTGGGACTTTTATGAGCTAGAATACAGTTTTGTCTAAGAAAAGTAATCTATCTAGTTCTTTGCACCAAAGCAGCATTTATTTAACTAGCAGAAATCTAACAAGAACCAACTATATAGCACTACTGCTGCTGGTATGTTGCTCAGTCATGTCCAACTCTTTGCAACTCCATGGACTGTAGCCTGCCATGTTGCTCTGTCCATGGGGTTCCCCAGGCACAAATACTGGAATGGGTTGACATTTCCTTCTCCAGAGGATCTTCCTGACCCAGGGATGAAACCCGCATCTCCTGCTTGTCAGACATCTCCTGTTGGGCAGGCAGATTCTTTACCACTGAGTGACCTGGGAAGCACACTGCATAGCATAAGGAACTGTATTTAATATCTTGTGATAACACATAATGGAAAAGAATTTGTGTAATGGAATCACTTTGCCATACACCTGAAACACTGTAAATCAACTATACTTCAATTTAAAAAAAACAGTAGAAATCTTCTCAAGTAATTTATTTCTACTTTAGGCCTTATTACCATCCAATAATAAAGGCTTTCTTTTTTTTTTCCATTTCATTAACATGTATTCCCTCCAAACTTATCAGAGTGAATTATAGTATTTTTTCTGGTTTCAAACACAGATGTACTCATGCCTAATTGTCATTCACTTTAATAATAACAATAAAAAAAATTACTAAGATTTACCATTAAAAGACTGGTAGCCTAAATAAAGTAACTTTATCACAGAATATAAATAATATTAGAAATATTCTATCTACAAAATAATATTTTAAAGGTGAGCACTATTTTATTATTCATAAATAAAGGCAAGATTATTTAAAGGCTTCCCATTTTAAAATATATAAAAATAAATTCAAAATATATAATTTTCTAAATTAATCATGCTTCCTATTTGTACAGTTTCTGAAATCTGCTCTTTAATTGTTGGCTTCATGAATCTTCCTAACAGAGTCATGGAATAAGAGATTGGAATTGCAAGTCATCGGTTGGAGAATTTGTCTATCAATTACCAGCTATATGTGAATGCTCTTTGTGAATTTAAAGGCAATGTATATATCTTAATTATTATTTTCACTACTGTAAAAATATTGTACACTGGATGTTGGGAAAAGTTTAGGCTTCTAAAATAATTTTACAACATGCCTAAAGATTGAGAAGTAGATGGCAATAATCTCAAAGTTCCAATCAACAAAAATAATTCAGATAAAAAATTATCTTGGCATTTCAAGGAAATTAATGTCCTTCAGAAAGTCATATTTTAGCCTTTGTTATCTAAAATGGCTATCCACACATTCGGTTTTCCTTTCTATCACACAAGATCTGTCCTAAATTGTACATAATTCTTCTGCTTCCTACTAACATTCAAGCAATGTACTTAAAAGCTACTGGTCCAAAACATAAGTCTTACTAAGAGGGATGCTACTGAATAACTTCATATTCAGTATAATTGAGCCAGTACTTGGTAATTAATGGAAAACATCAGTTAAAGCAGAGACCCAAAAAAGGTTTAAATATGAATTAAATCAACATTTTTTAAAACATGTAGTTTTAAGGGCTTTTCTGCTGATTAGAATTTCACACAATAGTCCCTTGGACAGCAAGGAGATCAAAACAGTCAAATCCTAAAGGAAATCAATCCTGAATATTCATTGGAAGGACTGATGCTGAAGCTGAAGCTCCAATACTTTGGCCACCTGATACGAAGACCCGACTCATTAGAAGAGACCCTGATGCTGGGAAAGATTGAAAGCAGAAGGAGAAGGGGATGACAGAGTATGAGCTGGTTGAATGGCATCACCAACTCAATGGACATGAGTCTGAGCAAGCTCCAGGAGTTGGTGATGGACAGGGAAGCCTGGAGTTGCTGCAGTCCATGGGGTCGCAAAGAGTCAGACACAACAGCAATAGGTATATACATTATATAAAATCTAACCTAATAGGTTTACTAACCTAATTTTGATTTCCTTAAAGAAAAACAAGGACTTAAAGATATTTCCAAACAATCTGAATTTCTGTTGCAATTTTTTACAAGTTTTTCATCTATACCTGACCTGTAGGTGTGTCTTAACAGTCCCATCTTTATAAAGTCTCTCCAAAAATGTAACTTAGCTTTCATAAAGCAAATTATTCTTTGTCTTAGTTTATCCAGCTTAAAAAAGTGAATTATGTAATTACAACAAAAATTACAAGTGCCCTAAAGAGTTTGAAAAATGGGGCAGCAGGGTACTGGAGCCAGCTCCCACCAGTTCACAGGAGCTAACTGAATACATCTTTCCCAGGTCCTCATTTAATGACATCACTTTGGTAGCTTGAAATCAGCCACAGAGGAGAATTTACACCATGGATATCAGCAAACATTTTTTAACATTTTTTATTGGAGTATAGTTGATTTACAATGTTGCATTATTTTCAGGTGTACACCAAAGTGAATCAGTTATACATACACATATATGTACTTTTATAGAGTATTGAGTAGAGTTCCCTGTGCTATACAAGAGAACCTTACTAGTTAACCTGTTTTATATATATCTAGTAGTGTCAGCAAACATTTTAAATCAAAGCTTTTTTTTTTCCAGAGAACCAAGTGTTAAGCATTTACCAGCACACCACAAGTATTAGGTATAAAGTCTTCCTGCAGTATCCAAGGATGGTTGGTTCTAGGAGCCCCTAAAGATGCCGGCTGCCGTCTATGGAGTCGCCCAGAGTCAGACACAACTGAATCAACTTAGCATCAGCAGCAGCAGCAAAAATGCCAAAATCCTGATGCTCAAGGACTTTATATAAAATTGTTCAGTACATGACAGTAGATTCAGTCAGCCATCTGTATCTGTGGATTCAACTGTACTAGCAAACAGCCTACTGACCAAGACCCTTCAGGAGGCTCTGGGCTTCAGCCAAGATATTTTATAAGGAAAGTGGTTCAGCAGAGTACGGTTAAGAAAATTCCTACTTTATCCTCAAGAGGGGCCAATGTAGGATAGTAATTATTCTTCACATGTCTTTTAAGTATTTTACTTTGACAGACGTTAACAGAAGATTATTGTTGTTTCTTAAGTAAACTGTCCAGTCTAAAACCCATTGATTCTGTATTCTTACCGTTTTGTGATCATTAACAATCATTAGTTCCAAATATTTCATTTCTTCAAACACACCACGGGATGGCTGTAGAAAATAAAAATATGTAATCAGAATGGTGGTTAAAGAAAATATCTCTAATGCTGGCTGTTAACTGCAAGACTGACTTAAAATTTCAGAAGAACTCTTTGCTGCTCACTTTATGAAGACCCTCAAAGAAACCTGGTCAGGGAAATGGAAGGAAAAAGTGACTATGAAGTGTGGGTAAACATACAATTGGGCTTCCCTGGTGGCTCAGTGGTAAAGAATCTGCCTGCCAATGCAGGAGACATGGGTTTGATCCCTGGTCCAGGAAGATCCTTTGGAGAAGGAAATGGCAACCCACTCTAGTATTCTTGCTTGAAGAACCCATATAGTACGTAGGGTCACAAAGAGTCAGAGACGACTTAGCAACTGAACAAAAAAGACAAAACATACAATCGGGCTTCCTCAGTGGCTTAGTGATAAAATATCTGCCTGCAATGCAGGAGACTTGCAGAAGACATGGGTTTGATCCCTGGGTGAGGAAGATCCCCTGGAAGAGGAACTGGACACCCACTCCAATATTTCTGCCTGAAAACCAGCATGGATAGAGGAGCCTGTTGGGGTATAGTCCATGGGGTTGCAAAGAGTTGGACACAATTGAGAAACTAAACAACAACAAATGTACAACTGCTTAGGAAAGAACTATATTTAATTATCATTAGGTACTCATACAGACAGAGAGCAGCTCATGTGGTTTTCATACCATTTTTAATATGTAAAAATATTCTAGAGAAAAATGCATAATTATTAATATGTTAAAATAATAAATCTCAATAAGAATAGCATAGTACATCTGGAATAGGTACCAATGTAGTCACAAACAAACGTGAATTCAGGGGAATGAAATTCTCATAATACTGTACTAATTGCTAACCACACAAGTTCTCAAAGGAACAAATGTTGACAATTATCATATTCTAAAGTTTGATTACTAGATAATCCTTTAAAGAGCAAGGGCTACAAAACCCACTACAATATTGTAAAGTAATTAGCCTCCAACTAATAAAAATAAATAAATAAATAAATAAAGAGCAAGGGCTAAGTATTTTAGCTGTCATTTGGACTATCACTTGTTTTTCATAGTTAGAACAGCACATGGTCATTGGTCAGTGTATATTTGATAAGACTGGACTGCAGTCAAACATCAACAGTCTATAGAAAATTTATTATTACCAACTGCAATTTCAAGAGTAAGCAAAAACAGATCTCTACGTTTAGAAAAAAAATTGTATCCATAACCACCACAATACAAAGACAAGCTCATGAAAGAGAGGATGATCTGACCTATCACTAAGTTTTCAATGGCTGGTGGTCTAATTTGCCATAAAAATTACATTTAGCAAAACATTATCTTAAATGTGCAATTTTGGGGAATTCCCTAGCAGTCCAATGGTTAGGATTCCACATTTCTGTTGCCGGGGCATGGGTTCAATCCCTGGTCAGAAAACTAAAATCCCACAAACTGTGCGACACAGTCAAAAAAATTAAAAGTGCAATTTTCAGTGTAATTACTCATTAAGTTATCGAGTAAATTACCATGTAATCCATATGCTGTGGAATTAATTTTTGGTTACATAGCATTCACCATGTAATTACTAAACAGTCCCCATCATTACAGCTTTCTAACCTATTATGAAATAGACTAGGAACATAATTTCAATTCCAAAGCCCCTATACATTTATCAATACATAGGAGCTCTATGAAAGTTGTCAATTATATAATTACAGGATTTGTATTTAGTAACTCAGTGTCACACTCACATTCACTGCTCTCTTCCGTCTCCTTTTGAACCACTGTAATTCAGATAGAAAGGGCCACTGGTCACTGCTTTCCATACCTGTGCAAAAGGAAAGAATGCCAAAATGTATGTTTGACTGCATTTCAATGGGAGAATGTTTTAAAAATATTACGTGAGGGAATAGCAGCATTGATAGCATTTGTCTTCTCAAAATAAAAATAAACTAAGGTGGAAAAAGCACGCCAATTATTAAATAGTTCACATTTTCATGGTCACAGATGTAATCCAAAAGCATTATTTTTTTCCAAACCTCATGAAAAACATAATGAGCTGTTCACAACTCCTGGGAATATGCATATTTGATCCACAACCACCTGACCCTAGATATCTGAAAATTTAGAATTCTACTATGCTTAATTCACTTTATTTTTTAAATGCTTTCCTTTTTTTAGAGGGTTTTTATTATTTATTTATTTGGCTGCACCAAATCTTCAGTCTTCATTGTGGCATGTGGGATCTAGTTCCTTGAACAGGGATCAAACCCAGGTCCCCTGCACTGGGATTGTGGAGTCTTAGCCACAGTACTACCAGGGGAGTCCCCTTAATTTATTTTAGAATTAAAAAGAATGCATGGCATACCCTTTTGCATAAATTACTAAAAACTTTTGGTACTGATACACAGAAATAACATTGCATACCCCAATAATCCAAAAGTGGCTTTTGCCAAATCAGCATGCTTAAGATGCCTCAGAACCAGACCATAAGAGAGATAGTACCAGCTGGTCAAAGTGCAGCGAATTCCACGAACATCTAAGGATGAACCTCCCTGTAAATAACTCTGTTAAATATGGCCACACTCTACAGTTTCTAACACAGCTTTACATCTGAGTTTCATATTTCAGTCTTTCCATTGGAAACGACTCTTCATGCTTCATTACATGAAAGCCACATGAACTGCCTACCAACACCACTCACTCCAGATCTCAAACCAATTCCACTTTCCAACGAGCCTGCATGTCTACCAAGCTCCAAGTCAAAGCTTCTAGTACATAAAACAGAATGGCTACTTTAACAAACACTTACTGAGATTCTTCATTTGCTTAGAATATTGTCCTGCCAAGATTTTCTGGATTACATGTGGTCGACCTGCGCTTTTCTGAAACAAAAACAATTAGTCAATTAAAAAGCAAGATATGATTACATCTGTATGGAACAGTGTGAGCACTTTCTCTAATATCCTCCCTAAAATGGGAACATTTATATGCTGATGGTTTAGTTACCAAAAATTAAAAGTATATGTCTTGTTAAAAGTTGAACTTCAAATAAAATAGAGCATCATCCAATTGCCTCAGTTTAGATAAAAAGCATAATTTCATTATCACTCTTAAACCTTAACTTTCTTCAAACCCATGCATAAGAAATTCACAAGAAAGAAACACAAATGGGCAATGACTGCACAATGTAAGACAAATACTCTAACACTTCTTCAAAATGAAAGTAAAAAGATATGCCAACTTTTGCCATCTGGTTGGCAAAGGTTTAAAAATTATTACAACCATAGTCAATTACAGTTGCAAGGCAAAAATCACTCTTACACACTGCTGGTAGCACAGATAGAGAGAAATTTAACAAGTCTATCAAAAATCTTGAAAATATCCATATCCTTTGCCCAAGATATTACACTTTTATTAAAGTCTTATTTCCATCACTATAAGCTTCCATTACTGAGTGCATAGGATGTGCTACCAATTTACCAATGTAATGCTCACAAGCACTCCATATGGTGCATATTTTATTGCCACTTAACAAACAAAAATATTGAGGTTCAGAGGATACATTAATGAGTTAAAATTATATTACAAAATAATGGTCCATTTATTTTTTAAAATATGGGAACGTATTGCTGAAAAACTGGAAGAATGTGCACTGAGAGGTAAAGAGAAGTTATCTCTAGGGGATGGGATAATGGATAAATACTGTTCAGTTAAATATTTTCTTATTGCGCTTTTCCAAATTCCCCACAATGTTTTATAATCAGGAAAAAAAAAGCTTATTTTAAAAAGTGCTCTTATTAAATTACATAAAAGACTTATAATAAATCAAAGTTTTGCCATTCATTTATTATTTGAGAAATAACATGAGTTCTCACAAGAAATACTCCCTCCATATTACTGGACTTATAAAGAATACTAAAATTAACAGTAAATTAAATATCAAAAATCTAAATTCAAGTACCATAGACTCTTAATTCTGGTATCAGGTGAAAAGATACGTGGAGTGATGAAACCCACAACTAGCAACATAATTTTAAAAACCAACTAAAGTTTCAAGCATTGTTCCCATCCCTCTCCCATGGTAAAGATGACGATAAGTTGTTGCATGAATGATAAGCAGGCAGTAAAAAGGAAGGCAAAAGAGAAAAGGCATTCAGTGTATAACAATCAGCTCCTGAAGAACAGGATTATGGGTTTAACAAGGCAAAACCAATGCTTTAAACATTATGATAATAACACCTTATAAGTCTCTTCAACAGTTTAATAGACAGTCATGTATATTTGTTAATTTGTCAAATGTGTAAAATTGCCCTATGAGGGATGCAATGAAAAATTATTTCATTTTACCTATTTAAAAACTCAAGGCTTAGAGAGTTGTTATTTGGGGCGGGGGGTGTTTTGCTCTTTGGCTTTGTTTTTGTTTTATTTTAGGGTCACAGGATCCTTAGTCAATGCCAGAAATCAAAGTCAATTTTTTACTCTATGAGTCAAATAATTGTGCTGTACATAGTTTATCTACCGACAAGTAGAGTAAGGGAAAAATATTTTACTTCATCAAAATGCCAGAAATCAAAGTCAATTTTTTACTCTATGAGTCAAATAATTGTGCTGTACATAGTTTATCTACCTACAAGTAGAGTAAGGGAAAAATATTTTACTTCATCAAAATGTCTTTATCTATCTAGGTGGGGTGATCTTCATTATCTGATAATTTTAAAATTGTCAGTTAAAAATAATACTGCTTTACTCAAACAGAAACCAGTTAAAACTTAGACTTTCCTGCCTCAAATTTGAAATTACCCCATATTCATACACATGTTGCCATATAAAGAAAATAAATATTTGTCTGTTTAACTATTATTATCAATAGCTTGAATGACTATTTCCTGCCTCTAAATTTATCTTATCTACATTTTAAATCTCTAAAGATTAAAAAAACACTTTTTCTGCTCCCCATCAATGATTGCAATATCCTGACGCTATCACTTTCAAACTGCTATTTTCCCATCAGCAGTAGTTTTTTTTTTTAATATTTATTCATTTATTTGGCTGCACCAGGTCTTAGTTGCAGCATGTGGGATCTAGTTCCCTGACCAGGGATCGAACCTGAGCCCCCTGCATTGGGAACTCAGAGTCTTAACCACTGGGCCAGCAGGGAAGTCCCCCCATCAGTAGTACTTTTCACTGTTATGACTTCCCAACTGATACCCCTCAGCACCTTCACCCCCTACTGTCTGTTCCTCTCCAAGCCAGCAGAACTCTTGCAGTTCCTAAAACACACTGAGAATGCTCCTACCTCAGGGCCTTTGCACTTGTTCTCCTCCTGTGATACACATCCACTCCCCTAATTTCCTGAAGGTCTTCATCCAAAACTCACCACCTCATTGTGCCCTGCCCTGGACAGTTAATTTAAGTTTTAACTCTCCTCCCCACCTTTCCAAGTGGCACTAGTGGTAAAGAACCTGCCTGCCAATGTAGGAGATGTAAAAGATGCAGTTTCGATCCCTGGGTCGGGACGATCCCCTGGAGGAGGATATGGCAACCCACTCCAGTATTCTTGCCTGGAGAATCCCATGGCAAGAATCCACTGCCAGTGGAGTCTGGCAGGCTATGGTCTCTAGGGTTCCAAAGGGTCTGACACAACTGAAATGACTTCGCATGCACCACCTACCCAGCTTCATTTTTCTCTCCTTAGTATGCACTATCTAACATACCATATGAAACTACTTATTCACCTATTTATTCCTGTCTCTGCCCCTAAAGACTACACGCTCTATTAGGCTCAGGTTCTATGTCTATTCTGTTCACCATTTTATCCCCAGCACCTAAAATAACATCCAGTATGTAGAAAGCCCTTATTACAACATTGATGAATATATGTGTGCTTAGTCGCTCAGTTGTGTAGGACTCTGCGATCCCATGGACTGTAGCCCACCAGGCTCCTCTGTCTGTGGGGATCCTCCACACGAGAATGTTGGAATGGGTTGCCATGCCCTCCTCCACAGGATCTTCCCAACCCAAGGACTGAACCCAGGCCTCCTGCATTGCAGGCAAATTTCTTTATCGTCTGAGCCACCAGGGAAACAGGAATACATAAACATATCAAATTTTAAGTTTAGTTGAATTCTATTAGTTAGCAACATGATCAGAGCACATGATTTCTTTTTTCCAGTTTTATTGAGATATCATTGACATATAGCACTGGAAAAGTTTAAAGTATACAACATAATGATTTGATAGATGTATATATTTACACAATGAACACCACAATAAGTGTAGTTAACATCCATCACTTCAATTAGTTATGCATTTTTTCCTTGTGTTGAGAACTTTTAAAATCTATTCTCCGCAGCTTTGAAATATACAATACTATATTGTATATGACAGTCACATGCTGTACACTGCATCCCCAGAACTTACTTAACTTATAGTTGGAAGTGTGTTCTTCTGACCACCTTCACTCATTTCCCCCACCAGCCTCTGGTAACCACAAATCTGTTGTGTTCATGTGAGTTCAGTTATTTAGATTCCACATACAAGTGAGATCATATAATGTTTGCCTTGTTCTGGCTGACTTAACTCACTTAACATAATGCCTTCATGATTTCTTATCTAGGTTGCTGGCCTATGCATGACTCTAAACATTATTTCCTTCCCTATCTGAAAAGAAAAATAAATACTGTTTAATGTAATCATAGCTGAACCCACAAATCTCCCCACTGAAGATTCTTAGACTCATAAAAGTTATGTATATACTTGCTTACAATCATACGACTATCTAAAGACCATGAGAATAAAAGCTTGCTTAAAGGAAAACAAATTGGTCAGTATAAAATAAAGCATCTTATCTTTTTTCTCTTCTGACTGGGAAGAACTGATCTTAGCTTCAGAAAACGTTTGAGGCTTCTTACCATCCCTTACTGACATGCCATCTCCGACATGCAACCTAAGCTTCAAAACTCATGGTACCAGCCTAAATGTGAAATAAAGTGCTCTAGATAAATGCATTTTGAAATCTACATGATCATCTCTTGATTGCTCAAAACAAAAATGCTGGAAAAATAAAGCCCCATAAAGAAAGTGATGTCACAGTCACACTCACCTCATTGTGAACCAGGTCCAGTGGTTCTATCATATACACAAAGGTATGATCTTCAAACATACCACTATGACACAAGGAACGACAGTAAGAGAGTTAACACATATAGCAAACGTAGTGTCTTTAAAAATGAGTGTACCTGAATAAATACCTTTATTCTGCCTCAAATCAAATTTACATATCTGCATGGAATCACACTGTGGTCCTAGCACTGCACTAGACAATGTATAGGCTACAGAAAGTGCAAAACGTGTGCAAGAGAGGTATACACATTATACCTGGCATGGTTAGTTTTTGGAATTAAATGAACAGATAAGAAGGTCAAATTGGGATAGGACTATTGATGCTGTTCTAATATCTCGAGTTATTACCGAGCCATGTACAACTAGTGCAAATTTGATTCGCAAATCCAGTATCATCTGTAAGAAAACAGGTTCTCTGTGTATAAGAACAATTTAAAACATTTGATTCTGAAGAGGCAAACAGAATTATCTTCATGCTTGCAAATTGTGAATTTCTATTAAGACTGTGTTGGGAGCCACATTTAATTTTGAGAAACACAGGATTTTTTGTAAAGTGTGTAAGTAAGATTTTCAAGATCCTTTTCATCACATGGCCCTAACAGATTTTTCCACGAAGCACTACTGTGTTTGAGTCTAAAAGGCACCTACAAATGTTTTCTAAGAGCCTGCCTGAAAACCGAAATATGGACCCCTCTTCTTTCAAACCACCCTTGCCTGGCCACCTTCACCTTATCCTTAGGTTAAGCTGAATGACAGTTATTCTGGGAGATACCTCTGGGAAACCTTTCTGGGCCAGGTTCGGCCACCCCCAAAGTCCCTGTCCTTCTTCACAGTACCCACCAAAATGGCAATCAAATAACAATCTGCACAATCATTTATCTAATCTCTAAATCACCTGCGAACTCTTGAGTGTTAACAGAGCAGAGACTATGCCCTCCTTGTTCACCACATCCAGTCTCTGTCCTAGGACTGGTACAGAAGAGTCACTAAAATAAATGTCTATGAAAGACAAGATGGAAAGGGTGAAAGAAACAGAGGAAAGCAAGGTGATTCTCGCTATGAGATCCCACATACTGAAGTCCATTGCAGGTTGACAGAGCCACCCTTGAGTCCTTGACACCTCTGATGTTTCCATGGTAGTAACAGTGCTCTCCACCCTGTAATACAGAAGAAGATTTTATTGTTAAATTATGCTGTCTCCAGCATGATTCTTTCTCTTTGGGATGCATCTGTAAAGCCAAAAGAAAGGCAGGGATGATCCTAGAAACGCCTCAAGGCTGTTATGAAATCTCAACTTTTCAACTTTTCTATAAGACGCAGGTGTATATTCAAGGTAATGAAGAAAAGGCTTTAACAGGAGTAAGACATTAACGCGGCTGGAACAACTTTTATACCTTTCCTAAGCATGTGAGGGAGCAGATATTGTCAGGGAATAAAATCTTCTACATAACTGAGGTGATTCCCCCAAAGGTGGTGTTTATCATCATTTTTTACGGAAAACTACATAAGACTTGGTGATTTGCCTTCCAACCTTTGAAAATCAGTTGATAAATTTTTTTAGAGATAATGTATGAAATTACTTCCCAAAGGCAAATAGTAACTGCAAGACCTATTTAAAAACACACACACACAGCAGTTTCCTAGCACTTTCTCTCACCACCTCCATAGCAACTATTTTTAACACTTTCAGCTGTTTCCTCTGCTGTTTACCTATGTATTTCTGAATGGAACATTTATACTGTTATATCCTAATTTATTCCACTTTAGAAATTACCTTCCTAATATAGAATCTCGAAAACTCTTCTTGCCCACAATATAATCTAACACACATCAGAAGCTTTTGGTTAAATTATATTTAGTGTTTGTATTCAGTTCAGTTCAGTTCAGTAACTCAGTCGTGTCCGACTCTTTGCGACCCCATGAATCGCAGCACGCCAGGCCTCCCTGTCCATCATCAACTCCCGGAGCTTACTCAAACTCATGCCCATTGAGTCGGTGATGCCATCCAGCCATCTCATCCTCTGTCGTCCCCTTCTCCTCCTGGCCCCAATCCCTCCCAGCATCAGGGTCTTTTCCAGGGAGTCAACTCTTCGCATGAGGTGGCCAAAGTATTGGAGTTTCAGCTTCAGCATCAGTCCCTCCAATGAACACCCAGGACTGATCTCCTTTAGGATGGTCTGGTTGGGTCTCCTTGCAGTCCAAGGGACTCTCAAGAGTCGTCTCCAACACCACAGTTCAAAAGCATCAATTTTTTGGTGCTCAGCTTTCTTCACAGTCCAACTCTCACATCCATACATGACCACTGGAAAAACCATAGCCTTGACCAGATGGACCTTTGTTGGCAAAGTAATGTCTCTGCTTTTTAATGTCTCTGCTATCTAGGTTGGTCATAACAGTGTTTGTATTATGACTACACAAATATTGTTCACAGCTGTGCCGCTCTGATGACATTGTCTTTCATGCTCTATTTTAAAATTTTTTGAGAACTTTTCTTTCTTTTTTGTTTTTCCATGTATTCAGCATGTGTACAGACCCTATTATCTAAAATATTATCTACAACTCTTCTCCTATGGTCAATTATAGCAGGTAAGTTATCAAATCCATTTTGTTTCTGGATTCACCCCGCTTGTTTCACCCTCATGCTAGGTCTGATGCATGGCTGCATCCCAGGACAGGTCTATAGCATCATTCTGGGAACTCTTCTGTCCTCTTTCTGTACTGAATCCTAGATCCTATATCTTCTGCATTCATGACCCCCTTTCCTGGAGGTACACATCCTCTGGTAATTGTTGAAAAGGTATTTATGAAAGATAAATTTGAAAGTTGAAAACCCCATTTCTATCGTCACACTAGATCATGTGGGTGGGTAGAGAATTCTAGATTGATAATTACTTTCTCTCAGTATTTCAAGGGCACTGTGCACACTCCTAAATCTTCTAATGTTGAGAATTGGAAATTATTCTAATGTTAAACATTGTCCACACAATCTATGTTTCCCTTTTCAAGAAGACTGCAAGAAATTCTATTCATCCCCATTTTCACAAAATCTCATGATGTACCTCAGGCGGAGACTTTGCTTATTGATTGTGCTGGGCACTTTTGAATCAAGAAAATGCATTCTCCCCAATATTCTGTAATAACCTATATGGGAAAAAGAATCTGAAAAGAATGAGTATCTGTATATCTATAACTGAATCACTTTGCTGCACACCCTGAAACTAACACAACATTGTTAATCAACAATACTCCAATACAAAATAATTGTTAAAGAAAAAAACCTACAACTCCACATGAAACATATCTGAGCATGTGTCAGTGCCAGTAATAATAATATATATATTAAAATAGTAAAAAAAGAAAATGCATGCACTTCAGTTCTGGGAAACTTCTACTGTTTCTCTGATAAGCCCCTTCCTTTCCATTTTTCTCTACAAATTGAGCTCGTCTACTGAAGCAGAGGAATGGCTCTCCAGGGTAGGGAGTAGATCAGGGATTTAGTACCTTCTCCAAGTAGACTTTCAACCAATCTTTCTGTTTTCTGGTACTTTCAATTCCTGGGGCTTTATGGGTGAAGAAACACAAGTTGGCTTGGTTCTGCTTGGCTTTGTCCCAGTGGAACTTAGCAGAGCAAGAAAAACTCAAACCTAGGACAATTACTCTGAATCCATCTGCTTTCTAGCTCCTACCATCGTATGGACACCTCTTATTAGCCGTCTTCTCTTCTCTTAATCCCTGTGGGTTTCTACCCTTTTTACAATTCCTTAGCTGTTACTTGAGTGTGTCACTATAAGGAACTAGAGATAAATATAAGCACGGAATCCACACTGTCTAACCAGAAGTTTCCTATTTTTTTTAATTTAATATTGAAATGTAATTTCCCTGGTGGCTCAAATGATAAAAAATCTGCCTGCAATTCAAGAGACCTGGGTTCAATCCCTGGATTGGGAAGATCCCCTGGAGAAGGGAATGGCTACCCACTCCAGTATTCTTGCCTGGGAAATCCCATGGACAGAGGAGCCTGGTGGGCTACAGTCCATGGGGTCACAAAGAGTCAGACGCGACTAAGTGACTAACACACACACATATTGAGCAGAGTTCCCCGTGCTATGCAGCAACTCCTTGTTGATTATTTTACATATACAGTAGGGATATGTTAATCCCAAGTTTCTGAAATAGAATATTGACTTTGACTTTTTATTGATGATTTACAGTCATCTTGATCACTGCTTATTAAGCTGTATTACAATAGCCTCAGATGATATTTAAGTGTGTAAAAGGGTGCACCCCATTATCAAATGACTACTCCCCAATCAACTTAGTTTGTTTCCTTTTAGTAACTATAATATAAAGTTTCCATGTTGCTTTCTAAAATTGGTATTACAATCTTGTTACTATTTTGTAAAGTGTTGCTTTTGCTTCTCGAAATTCTACTCCCGTGCACAAATATTGACTTTATATACTATGTCAAATTCTATTTGCATATTCAACTCTGGAACTTGTTGGGGCAAATGGTTACCACACATTTCAGTAATTTGAGAATCCACATTAATACCCTGTAATTAAATATCAGACTCTTCCCATGATTCTAAAAACAACCACAGGAAACTGTAAATTCCATTGGACCAGTTACAGAGCATGCTGTGTCACACCAAAAAGCGCTCTTGAATCAAGTGACTGTTAGAAGTGCACATCAAATACTGTCATATTTACTTGACCTTTCTAAGAAAAGCTCTATTTTTTATATTTTCCTGCAAACAATCTTTTTTCCCAGAAAATATTTCCAAGTCTTTTCTTACACTTCAGTTTCATTCGATTGCACTGAAAACTGAAAGCTGATGCTCTTTCAGCATAAAGGTCATTGGTACCTGTTTTAATTACAGCAGAATATCATCTGAAGGGAACTGTTCAGTTCACGGTATATGTGGATGTGGATCACCATACTTCCTGGACTTTGAGACATGCAGTAACATCTAATCCCTGATGTTTATCATCATAAGAAAACTTTAATATCTAACTTGTGTAGTCCTATTAAACACAACATGCAATTTGGCAAGTCCTAATTTAGTGTTAATATTAGTAGTATTAGGAGACTTTCTGACTTCCTTATTGCTTAATTTACACCAACCAAGTTTTTGAGAAAGCATTACCAGAAAAATACTATTTGGCAACTGTCCAGATTTTGTAGCATTTTGTTAATGTCACTACAAAGTAAGATCTTTGGGTATTTCATATTAAATAAATCCCTGCTGAGAAGTATTCTCTCTTGGGTATCAGGATGACAGGAGCAGGTCAGGTCAGAGGGGCCTCTTCCAGGGGGAGAGCCTTGTTAATGAAGACACTGGATAGTCAGTTCCCGGGGTGCCTCCATCCAAGGTACTAGCCAGCTGAAACCCTCGCTGCCTAACAGTAACTGCCATCTCTGTGTACAAATAGGGAGAGAGTCACAAAGTGCTAAAAGGCTCTGCCGCAGACAACAAAGCTAAACTGAATCCCACATCTGCAGGTGCTAGTGTTTCTTTCTGCAATCAGGAAGGCCTCAGACAGTTTACAAGAGTGCTGGTCAGAGACTTTGAGATCACCACCTATGAGGGGGTCACAGACCTATAACTAGGCAAACGGCAGGCAGCAGAATCAAAAAGGGCTCATTCGATGCACGACACAAGTCTATATGTGTCTCCATGGGCACCAGCATTTTCAGATTAAAAACTGTCAGGTACTAATATTTAACAAAAATGGAGAGTCTAATAAATGGACATTATTGCATCATCAAAGTGACTTAAAATGGGATGCATATACCCAAATTTGAATAATGCAAAACAAGGATACAAAAAAATATTTCAGAGAATTGAACAACTTGAGAACCCAACACCAGTTTAATTATTTATCTTTGCTAAACTCAAGGGGAAAAAATGTCCAGGTATCAAAACATTTACATGTTCTAATTTATATGTTTATATATATAGCTGTACTACATAAATTTTAGTGCTATATACATTTTTAATAGTTCACACAAGTTATACTATTCAGGTTTAAAATAACTTTGTAGGGAGCCAGTGTGGGATGCTCTCTTGATTTCCTGGGGAGTGTTTTTTTAAGCTCCCAGCCAAGAGCCTTGCCCACAGAAGCCCACTGCCTCTGACAATACTCTCTGCCAAGA